GAAAAAGTCTTATTTGTTGTAAACTCTGTGTTTTATTTGGTTTATAATTGAATAAGATTTTGTGTCCAGTCAGCTAAATGTTCTTCTTTTTTAACAGATGACATCAGCTCCCGCTACAATCTGGGAAAGCAGCTCGGTGAAGGAGGTTTCGGCTCTGTTTTTGAGGGGATCCGCATACAGGATGGTCTGCAGGTATTCATTTCTGTAGACTCAAAACCTTTGATGAAGTTCACTATTTAAAGAACATCATCAGAAACATGCTTTCATTGTTTTGACATTTCTGAGAATTTAAATTGATGAAACCTCTGTTCAGGATTTGAATGAAATGATCTGGATGCACATGTTAATTGTTCGCTTATTTCTTTAAACAGGTGGCTGTTAAATTTGCCCAGATGACACCACGTATGCAAGATCTCTGCTCTGTAAGTACACTACACTTTCTGTTTTTCTCTTCTCAGTCACTGTGTTCAACTCAAAATGTCTTATATTTAATATTAGACAACAGGCTGTGGTTAAAAATCCTTGTTTGAAAACCAACATCATTATTTTGTTTTCAGTCTCATGACCAGCCACCTCTAGAGATCACCTTGGCAAGTATGGCCAGCAGTGGCTCCAGGTGTGCCAATATAATTCAGCTCCTTGACTGGCAGGTCTTCAAAGACCATTATGTCATGGTCATGGAGCGGCCTACGCCAAGTATGGACCTGGAGGCATTCCTGCAACTCAACGGAGGCGTCCTCACCGAGCAGACGGCACAAACTATCATGGGCCAAGCTGTTCATGCTGCCAATGTTTGCTGCTACCGGGAAGTATTCCACAGAGACATTAAGCTGCAAAACCTGCTTGTAAACCCAAACACACTGGAGGTCAAGCTGATTGACTTCGGCTGCGGAGATTACATGATGGAATCAGCATACTCCACCTTTTCTGGTAGGTGTTTTAAATAGGGTTGTCAAAAGTATCGACTTTGGGACTGACATTTTAAAAATGTCCAATTGAATGCTGTTAAACACCACTGATTGGCCATTGGTGTTCACATGCTCAGCAAATATGACTGTGATGAGTGTCAGTATCGATACTTTTGACAACACTAGTTATGAATGTACATAAGCCTTATTAATATACGGTTTAAAAGCTCAGTAATTAGCACACCTGAAACCCATCTGGTATATTTATCAACATGATGCTGACACAGAGATTTAACTAAATGTCTCTCCTCCAGGCACAGAAGCGTACATGCCGCCAGAGTTTTACAAAAGAGGATGTTACCATGCCAAACCAGCAACTGTCTATTCTCTTGGGGTTCTTCTCTTCACATTGCTGCATGGAGATTTCCCAACGACGTATGACCTGTACTACCTGGAGCATGACTGGTCCAAATTTACCCTCTCTCAAGGTGAGATTTTCATCAAAGAACAAGTTAAAAAACTGTTTACTAATAATAATAATAATAATAACAATTTCACCTCTCCTTTTGTTTTTCACAGAATGCTGTGATCTGATGTGGGCTTGTCTGCAGCAGATTCCAGAGCAAAGAATTCTTCTAGGACAGATGCCTTACCACGACTGGTTCATGCTGGAGTAGCCAGTTGACACCTTTGCTGTTAATATATAGTGTCTTGTTATTGTATTATTCACTTCTTTATTGTTACAGTTGTTTTTGTGTATGTCTCTAATAAAAATATATATTTTTGAACTCACTTGTGATGTGGCTTATATTGTGATCTAGTCCCAGTGACAAAAATCTGGCATGAGGTTTGAACAGCATCCAGTCATTTATAACACACACTGCAGTTGCCACTGGCGTCATTAAGGCACACTTTTAGAAACACATTTTTTAAGAATACAGTTCAGCGCTGACCAAAAACCTAAACATATCAGTCACTGCAACATCAGCAAATCATACGTATAAAAGTCCAATGTTTTATTGTGAAATCAGAGCTGTTTTTAGAAATGTTTTAAAATACAAATGTCATAACATGAGAATATGACATTCAATACAAAACATCTGCATTTTCACAATAAGAGCACCCAGTCTTATTAAGGTCATTGAGTATTCATTGCCCTCACGACAATTGTGCTTCTCAAACAAAATATTCAATGGTATTTCTTTAAAGTCAATTCTGATAGTGTAGTTTGTGCAGACACACTGAGGTTTATCCAGTGTTCAGAAGTCTGAATCATCCACATTATTTTATACGCCTCCAAAAACATGTTTACTACACGAATGTCCAGCGTTTGCTAAACAAATAGAGGTAACACTTTACAATAAGGTTCATTAGTTAATGCATTTACTAACATGAACTAATCATGAACAACACATGTAGAGCATTTCTTAATCATAATTGAACATTTACTAATGCATTATTAACATCCAAGTCCATGCTTGTTAACATTAGTTAATGCACCACTAGTTAACAAGAACTAACAATGAAATACTGTATTTTCATTAACTAACGTTAACTAACATGAACAAATACAGTAGTAGATGTATTGTTCATTGTGTGCTCATGTTAGTGAATGCATTAATTAACATTAACTAATGAACCTTATTGTAAAGTGTGACAAAAATAGACTGTTCAACCCTTTATGTTATCACTTTCTTACAACATCTCCAACTATGCTAAAAGCAACGAGTTTTATAGGAAGATGTTGCAATAAAGTAATAATGTAAAGGGTTGAACAGTCTATTTATAGTAATGTGTTTTGGGAAACGGGAGTGACAACTGTATGAAATCCAAAAGTTTGCATTCTTAATCACCTGTTTCTAAATGGTCTGTTGCTAAAAGTGAGGGGGACGTATCGCCCCTGTCCCCCACGGTTGCTACGCCCCTGCTTACAACATCTCCAACTATGTTAAAAGCAACAGGTTCTATAGGAAGAAGAAGAAGAAGAAGAAGAAGAAGAAGAAGAAGAAGAGGTAACATTAAATTTTGATGGTCCATTTGAGTATTCTCATATGATTATAAGTAGACTGTTGGGTTTGGGTTAGGGTTAGTGTAAGTTGACATGTATTAGCAAAGTTTCTTGTAGTCAGTTAAATGTCTGTTGAAGGAGAATATCAAGCTGATTATATTATCAACAGATTTTAAGCAGACAGTCTACTAATACTCAAATGGACCATCAATATAAAGTGTTACCCCATTCTTTAATAATGCCCTAGAAGAAAGAAAATCAGCTTCATTTTCATCTCTAATAGTCCACATTTTCTGTAAGGCTGGTGGTGAACTTCATTCAACCTTCTACCAAACTGAGGTACAAAGTAAATCTAATCTTTGTTTAAGATGTTTGTCAGATTGAAAAATAATTTAGAGATTATTAATTCAATTTCTAAACATCAGACCATTAAAAACAACAGCTATTGAGATGTGATCAACCATCACTGCTTCATGTTTTGGTTTTCACAGACAGATTAATCTCTATTATGATTTGGATTTGTAAAATGGATGAAGTGTGGTCATATTTGTGATTTGATTTACCTGGATTGATCATCTGGTTCCTCTGAAACACAGGCTGTAGATGGAGAAGAGCTCCGGACTGCAGGTTTGATGGTGGATTTTGGTAAAAGAGGAGCTGATTTTACTCCGCTGACGTCTCTTTAGGCTGTTAGAGAAAAACAAACTTTTTAACATTTCTATTTATTATTTTTAGTTACAAACTCATTATTAAACACAATATCCACTGATTTTTTCATTCACTCGTTTTCTTTTCTACTTGGTCTCTTTATTAATCAGGAGTCGCCACAGCAGAATGAACTGCCAACTTATACAGCATACAGTATGTTTTACACAGCGGATGCTCTTCTAGCTGCAACCCAGCACTGGGAAACACCCATGCAGTCTTGCATTCACACACATTCACTACTGCCACTACTGCTTTTGACTGTGGGGGAAACCGGAGCACCCGGAGGAAACCCACATGAACACGGGGAGAACATGCAAACTCCACACAGAAACGCCAACTGACCCAGGCGGGGGCTTGAACCAGCGACCTTATTGAACCTGTGTGAGGTGAAAGTGCTACCCACTGAGCCACCATGTCGCCATTCCACTGATTACAGCACAGCAAAATACTTCAAAACCACCAAAGATGATTATGAATGGATTAAAGCAAGTTAAAGTAATTCTCCCTGAAGAACAAAACATTTGAATCCTTCGGTTGGATTCAAGCTTGAAAAACTATTACTGAGCATTAAAAAATCATCTAAAGACTTAGAAAACAGACCCCATATTCTATTGCTGATTAAATTATCACTGTATGTGTCGTATTATTATGAACTAAATGTATGAATAATGAATTAAATGTAGCTGAAATAGAATACAGCCCTGGTATTACATTACAAAACATAAACACACACAATCCAAGAAAATGCTTTAATATAATGGCAGGATTTACACTATGATTATCCAAAAAACAACTAAAAAAAAACTCAAACTCACCGTGCGTCAGTGGAATAAGAAGAAAAAAAACCCAGCTCAATCCTCCTGTGATATTGATGTGTGTAGAGGACTCTATTGGGATAAATAGAGCTCAGACCAGACGAGCTGCAGCATTTTAGATCATCTAAAGAGGTTTCACAGCAGATGATGGAAGTTCAGCCTGGAGAACATTGCAGTAGCCTAATATACAAATCACAAGTGCTTGGACAAAAGGTTACGCAGCCTGCTCTGTTACAAAGTGTTTGATCCTTCTAATTTTGTGTAAAGAAAACAAAGCTTGCACAATCATGCAGGTTATGTGACCACTGAAGGACAGCTGAGCATCAAGACTTCTGACTGAATTAAAGGTTTAATTGTAGATGACCCTAGCTGAATAGTGAAGTTCAGATGTCTTTGTCTTAGTCGCTTTAAAATTGAATATCATTTATAAAAATAGAAAGTTTGATGGATTCTTGATAGTGAATGTACAAAACAAACAAAAGATAAAAACTGATCTGAACTTTCAGACGTAACTTAAAAATACACGCATAAGGCACTGAAAAAGCAAAAAAATAATAATAATTATGTGCACAAGTATATATATTATTACATCAAATGCAGCAAACAACAGCTTTGTAAAACCAGAATTGTACAATATTATAGCACAACTAATGCAAGAAAATCAGTGTTAGATTCAGATAAAGAGGATTTGATTTATTTGGTTTGCATTTAAAGTTCCTGTCTGTAGCCATGTTTAAAGAAAGACATATCTGTAAAACTGAAGAAGCTAAAGATGAAACAGCAAATGATCAAAACCTTCTTTATCAGCATTTTAGCTACAGCTAGGAACTGTTTCATAGCAATTTGATGTCAATCCTCCAGCCTACCGTTATATACAGACTGTCATTAAAGCAGCATCCACAGAGACATGTCCATTATTCTTCTTAAATACAGGATTCTCTATACATATTTCTTGTTCCTTTACAAGGCTAAACATTATAGGCACACAAAGATAAATTTCTTTAAATATTTACAAAGGCATAAATCATTTTTTGAGAGGATCTAACTGTACATTCACCTTATAAATGACTGATGATTGTGAAAGAAGTCTGTGTTACTTATGATCAGCGCAGTTTGTGATGCTCATTTGGAGCCGAGATGATCTTCAAATATTCTTCTGTCTGCCTGTGTGTGTGTGTGTGTGTGTGTTGATGTTGTTAATAAATAATGTGTTTGTCGTGTTTCTACTCCTCAGTAAAAGTGATGACATCATACTGGATGCCCTGCTGTTGCAGTTGTTCCAGTTGTTCAGGTGTGGCTTCAGTGTAAACCGTCTGAGTCATCGCCGTATCTGCAACAGTTACACACACACAGAGAGAGCAAAATTTAACCTTAATAAGAGTGCAAATTGTAAGCATTTTAAGTGATTTTGGTCACACTTTATAAAAAGGTTCATTAGTTAATGTTAATTAATGTATTTACTAACATGAACACACAATGAACAATACATTTACTACTGTATTTGTTCATGTTAGTTAACGTTAGTTACAGTAGTTCGTTGTTACTGTAGTTCATGTTAACTCATGGTGCATTAACTAATGTTAACAAGCATGGACTTGGATGTTAATAATGCATTAGGAAATGTTCAATTATGATTAAAAAATGCTGTACAAGTGTTGTTCATGATTAGTTCATGTTAGTGAATGCATTAACTAATGAACCTTATTGTAAAGTGTTACCGTGATTTTTAAGCATTTGTTCAGAAATTGTAACATTTGTAGCTTTTGTATTCATTAATTTGCATCATGTTATTTTACATCGGTTCAATTTCTGTACCTTACTGTAAAAGAATGCTGTGTTCCACACTATTCCTTTATCTTGTCCCAACCCAAATTAAGTTAACCTAATCATTCTTATAAATTTAAGTGAATTGAATATAAAACAGTTAAGTTAAAGTTTTTAATAAGCTAAAAAGTCATTTTTGGGTGTTAAACACTGTTAAGACTCCCCAGAAAACCAGGAAGCACCATACAATTTTCTTCATATCTTTGCGCTATCATATTTTTCTATGCTTTTAAATTGTTCATTACATTTCATGCATATGCACTCCTCTTGCAAAATCATTCTAATCATGATAAAATTATGAATTCTCTACAAATACAGCTATTTAGGTAATCTGGTGAAATTGTTTTCATAACACAATACACTAACTGACAAAAGTCTCGTCATAACTTGACTTTTAGTTGATCGTTTGGAAAAGCGGCAGAAGGCAGATTTTTTTTTTGATGAATCATTTGTTGAACTGCATCTCAATTATCACAAATACTGTAGAGGACCTATTGGAACCAAGATTCTCACAGAAGCCAGCCAAGTTTGGTGATGGAAAAGTCATGGTTTGAGGATACATTCAATATAGAGGCGTGTGAGAGATCTGCAGAGTGGATGGCAACATCAATAGGAGAGGGCAAATTCTTCAGCGAGATAGTGCTCCTTCTCATACTACAGCCTCCACTTCAAAGTTTCTGAAAGCAAAGAAGGTCAAGGTGCTCCAGGATTGGCCAGCCTAGTCACCAGATATGAACATTATTGACTATGCCTGAGGTAAGATGAATAGGAAGGCATTGAAGATGAATCCAAAGGATCTTGATGAACTCTGGAAGTCCTGCAAGAACACTTGCTTTGCCATTCCAGATGACTTTATTAATAAGTTTAACTCATTGCAGAGATGTATGGATGCAGTCGTCCAAGCTTATGGGAGTCATACTAAATAAAAATAAAAATTTTCACAGCACCATGACTTTATATTCTATACTGTACATTATTTCTGTTAAGTGACAAGATTTTTGTCTAAGTGAAGTCAGACCTTACTGTCCTAATTAAATAATTAAAAATCAAGGCATGATCCTATTTTATTTTGGTAAAATATGTGTAATCTAGAGGCCTTTGCCTTTCATATAGGCCACATCTGATACTAAACTAGAAGTCAAGTTATTATTTGTTATTCCTAAAACTTGGATAGGCAACAAGATTTTTGTCAGGTAGTTTTTATATGAAAAAAAACAAAAAACAAAACTTAATATAAAAAATAATTTTTTTCCAATATCGTGCAGCCTTAAAAGATTGTATTAAATAGTTCTATATTTTGCATTTAAAGTGAAAAACTTGTAGGGTCAAAGGTGAAAGGTCATACCAGTGACCGCTGAATGTGCAACTGCTTCCAGGTCTTCAGGGGCCACAACCTGCTGTTCGGTAGTGATGGGAACATACTGGATCTGTCCATCCTGAGACACAGCAATCTGAGACACAACACAGAGGAGATTTACACTGACACCAGGGTATATTTACACAAAAAAAGTCTGTACTACAAACTAAATTTGAAGTGTTGCTGTAAAAATGATTAAAAATGCTGTACTATTCATGTCAGGCCAGTAGTTGGCAATTTCTCTTTGTAAAGTTAGTACACTATGTGCCTGCAAACATATGGTCTTTACTGTCTGCCACTGTTATTTTAAGTACTCGTGCATGGCTACAGACTGAACCTGTAATCTACATTGAAATGGCAAGTGATTTACAAAAACATAATTTTGTGAAAACAAAGATTATATCTGGATCATATTCAAGAACTTGGTCTTTAAAACCAGTTTTCGAAGGTTTGTGTTTTTAGGCACCCTAAAATGCCACAGTTATGTAATAAATGAATGTTCAAAATGCAAAAACAACAACAAAAAACTAAACAATGAACATTTTTGATTAAGTTAAGACAGATTATCCACTGCTTTTACTGTTACCTATACTGTTAAGTACATTTCTTTATATTCTAAATTGCACTTTTTAATATGTAAATCACAGTTTCCACAAAAATAATAAACAATTAGTTAATTATTACTAAACCATGATGAAAAACTATTTAATAAGCGCCAAACTAAAATCCATTAAGATGTAAAAAAGTGCATTATATAAATTTGGCATTATAATAACTACAACAGAAACAAATGATTTATATGAAGACATAAACAGCTCAAAGTATTTATGAGCTATCACGCTACATTTAAATTACAGTAATTCCGACATGCTTGTATTGTGGTTTGGACTCAACCTGTTGTTCTTGCAAAAACGTCCCATCATGTTCATATTGAATGTGAGCAATTTGCCCGTCCTCCATCTGCAATTCAAAGCCAAGGTTTTAGTCATAATAATGAAACATAACATCCAACAGACAACACAAGAAGCTGAAAGTGCTTCTCGGGTTGCAGATCAGATGAGCCATCAGTGAACTGTTCATTAAAAACCATGAGGAATTCTGGACTCTTGGGTTATGAATGATGTAAAGCACAAAGACCAACCTGAATGTGGTTCCCATCAGATACCACCACATACTCTCTTGGGAGCAAATGCTGAACTCCATCCTGAGAGATGATATACTGGACCTGAGAAAATATAGGGTGGAAGAGGCAGCTAATTGAATATTTGCATTTAACACAAGGAATTATAAAGATGAAGGCGCTTACTAGGCATGGGCCAGTATAAGATTCTGATAGTATGATAACCTTGGAGAAAAATATCAAGGTTTCACAGTCTCCCGTTATTGTTATTACTGCTCTAAAATATATATTTTTTAAATATCTGGGTAAAAAACTAAAACTTTTTTGGAGCAGTAAACATGTCAGGCTAAATAATTCAAATGAATCATTGATTCTGCTGTCTTTATTAGCTTCAAAAACACAGATTTCTCTACAATTTCAAATGGCATCTTTAAATATGCTATAAAAAAAATGCAAAAAAAAAAAAAAAAAAGGAAAAAAATCTTACACATACCTTAGGAATGGTATAACAGAAAGTTTTGGCGGTTTTAAAACCTTGACTTTTCCAAACCACGGTAAACCTTGAAAATGGTCGTTTTGTTAGATTAGTTTTAGTTTCGCCCCCTGTGTAATTCAGAGTTTTGTAGTTTAATTAGTTTAGATCGGGTGTCGTGACTGAAGATATCGATTTTATTTTCATTATTTATTTTTGTCGCCTAGTTTAGACTTTAGACTTCAGGATTGTTTTGTTTTGTTAATTTCTTTGATTTGGACAATGACAATTTTGTAAATGTTTTTAGTACTTTTTCCATTATTATTGTTACATCTTTTACTTAAACCATTGAGTAAAAGAAAATGCTTAAATTCAGAATCAATTCCTGCCTCAACCTTGATCTGTCCCACACAATACATTTGTCTCACCTAAATGTTACAGCATCCCTTTTAAACATCATAAACTCATAACAGCAAAAAAGTGAAATAGTCTTGTTTTCATAAAATATGTAACATTAAGGCAGCTTTTCATTAAAACAAAATAAAATGCCAGTGAAAAGCAAAATAAGTTAGTTTTTATATTATTTTGCGTGTTTTAAGAAGAAACTCACTTAATCTAGACTTTTTTGCAGTGTAATGACTGTCATACTTTTTACAATGATTAAGAGAAGACACAAACCTAATCATAATTCAGTGTAACAATAGATAATAGACCTAAGAATCTTGTCAGGCATATTTAATACAAGAATCATTTGATAACATGTTTGTAAACTGTATTTAAAGATCATAGTTTAGCACCAAAATACTAATTATTATTATTTGAAATGTTTATACTTTCCACTATCCTTCAAACCACTAAATTTTACTTATTTGTCTGCAAAAGTATTTAAACAAAAAGGTTTAAAACCTTAAAACTAGGGCAGGAAAAAAATCACTTATTATTTTATATATTTTAGTAAATGTAGTTTAAAATAAAAATCTGTTCAAAACCAAACGTTTGACTGTGTGTTTACTGTATATTTGAAAACAGCTTTATTAATTGAGTCATACCTCAGTGACCTGGTTGTCTCCGGTCATTAAGTGCTGTACGGTCTGTCCATCTACTGTTGTGATCTGCTGAATATATGTCGCCTCCTCCTAAGAAAAGAAGCATTTTGTGATAAACATGCCTTGTTCAATACTATAATATAATGTTATATTATGTATTACATTTATACATTTATCACTTTATAAAATCGAAACCACCTTGCATTAGATACAATCTCAAATGTAATGCTCTTCTTAGTGATTTTTCATAACCACCCAACATTAAGTACAGGCTGAGAATGAGAAAGTTGTGCAGTACCTGGTCAGAAAGACTTTGATCCTGAGCCACAATGATGTGTTCCTGACCCAACGCTTGCTGTAATCTCTCTGGGCTGATGACCGCTTGACCCGCCTGCAAATCTACAAAATATAAAAGAAATTTAATGCAACAAAGTAGCAAGATGTGTCTAATAAACAGACCAAGGCTGTGTGACTACAGTATAGAGTAGAGGAACTATGACGTCACCTTGTAGGCCAATCGGCTGCTAGCATAAAACTGGTTTCTTCAATAAAATCCCCATAAGATTTTCCCATAGACTTCTCGAAGATTGCAAATAATTAGCTCTGTGTTCAAACACAGTTCATTACACTTACACGTTTTGTCCAACCGGATAATCCTCACACAACATTTATACAGACCTACAGTACATGCCTTTTGGATAGTTTCCCAATGAGAAATACATTTGTTTTGCTTTACAGTTGTTGTATAAATTTTAAAACATATACTGTTTTAGAAATGTGCCTATATATTCTAATCATAACATATGTTTAAATAAGTGTATTGCCTGTGTGCACATAGCCCGTTAACCTTAGTGAAAACCTAGCTATGACTGTCAATTACAAATCCCATATTCTTTTTCATGGACAACAGAAATAAGGGACCAGTCTATCAAATCCAAGCAAATGCCATCATGGACAGAGAACATCAATATTCTTTTGTTTTGTTATGAAGTACAGAGAAAAGCAGCCCATACAGTCACATATGATATACGTTTTAAGGTGAGTGTAAAAGAGTTTCAGGAGGAGTGTAAATATTGCATTTATAGTTAAAAATTTGTTCTGATGAAGAAAAAAAAGACAAAAAAATCATTAGATGTATGTAAAATAATCATGTTAAAATGTCAGTAAATATTTATATATTTTTACAAATTTATTCACAACATTGCATTACTGACATTAGGGTGGAGAATCTTCATTACCCTATCGAACCCATACCCTGATGAAACAAATGAATCTGTTATGATGGTCTCTACTAGTCATTATCTACACACAATAAGAAGGCCCAATAAGAAAAAAATACGACAACCTATATAAAACACTATTTATGAATCAAAAAAACAGACAAATCCAAATGTCCAACAAAAGCTGTAAATTTAAAGTGGGCTGCATTGCAGACCAGTTCAGGTCAATGATAAATAATGTCTACGACATTGCCTGTTGTTCCAATTAGCAACTGTCTTTTAAGAGAAGCATAACCGATTAAATAAAAAAAATAAATAAAAAGTGGGATGTATCTGATGTGCTTTATGTCATTAAACAAAACATAAAAGTATCTTGAGTTTGTGGTAGCCTCGAAGCTTATTTAAGCGATTTAATCAAAATCCTATTTAAGAAACCCATTGACTTTGGGACAAGGGAACTGGAACTTGATTCCAGGTTTTTACATACAAATTGACGTCATAGTTCCTCCACTCAATTATATTCATTCCAGCACTTACTCTGCAGTGTGGCTAAAGCTTCTTCATCGCTGTTGATGATGATGGTCTGCTGTGAGGGGACGGAGCGAGCTTTACGGGGAGACGGCTCCTGAGTGTGAAGCCTCTCCATGTGGAACTTCAGATGGCCGTTACGGTTAAACCTAAAATTAATTCATGAGAGTTTTAATATAAGGGACAACGTGTTTCTGTGTTGTTTAGCCTTTTACACTGGCAATTTATTACGGTTTCAGCTAAACATCTTCTTTAAAAAAATTCCCCACATCTTAGATGGCCTGAGGGTGTGTAAATTGCCAGCAAAATTACTGCTTTTTCAAGTTAAAAAAGCTTTTATGGATCTGTTTGTATTAATATTGTAAAGAGCACAAATTCTAATATTTGCTTATTTATTTGAATGATTCTTTCTCAGTTGCTCACCTTTGGCCGCACACCTGGCAGGAGTAAGGCTTCTCGTTGGTGTGTGTCATCATGTGGCGTCGCAGGTCTTTCTTGTTTTTAGAGGCAAAACTGCAGCTGGTGCATTTATGAGGTCTCAAATATGCATGCAAGGCCATGTGAGTCTAGGATGAAAAAATACAATTTAAAAAAATTTAACTTGCACTTACATTTAGTCAGTCTACGCACTTTAACACAATGCTGTTTAAAAGTCCTTCATTTTGTTTAGGAAGTCAAAAGCTTTACACTGATTTGCAATAGGTTAACATTACTTTAAGATCTCGTAATAAACATTACACCATTCATTATGAAACTCAGTCCTGGAGGGCCGGTATCCTGCATAACTTAGTTCCAATTAAACTGAAACAGTTTGGCTGAAACAGCTAATTAAGCTCCTTCTAGGTGTACTGAAACTTCCATGCAAGCGTGTTGAAGGAAGTTAAAGCTAAACTATGCAGGACACCAGCCCTCCAGGACCGAGTTTGGACACTCCTGCCCTAACAGCTCCATTCAGAGAGGTTCCTATTTTTTGATATCTGAATTTCAGCTTTGAAAAGCTCCTTAAAAGGATAGTTCAATCTAAAATGAAAATTTACTCACTATTTCCTCACATTTAAGTGATTTAAGCACTTGTAAACATCCTCCGGAATTGTATGCAAACTGCAAATAAACTGCACCTTCTCAACATTCCAACAACCCAAAGAAATGATTATGAAGACTCATTTCAGGCAGTTTAGAGTATTTTTCCCTTTAAGTGCTAATTCATATATTTATCATACACTTTGTTCTTTGAAACTTTGCAAATCCTTCACAAACAGCCTTGCACAAACACAAGAAAAGCAGTATCTAAAAAGCAACACACAAAAAATGAAAAACTCAACCCAACACACCTTGACTTCTGGCCAAGAAGGTGCTGTGAAGTCACAGTCGGGGCATTTGAATGTTTTGGGGTCGATGTGCGCCCTCTTGTGGTTCTCCATATCCGATCGGCCATGGAAAGCCTCCATGCAGATGCGACATGAGAAGCGCTTGGTGTTCAGCTGTTGAGAATGGGGTGATGGAGACAGCGGAGGAGATGCTGGAGCTTCACTGCTGAGCTGCAGAAAGAGGATTTAATCAATTTAACTAACTTTCCATTAGGACTATTGGTTATTCTATCTGAATTCTTACAAAACACAGTCTCACCTCCACCTGCTGCAGGACTCCGTCTGTCAAGCCTGAGCTCACGTAAAACTTCTCTTTATTTTCTTTGAGAGGTGTAGAGATGGACAAGGGCTCAGTACTCACTTCCATCACCTGAGGCTCTGCTGAGGGCTCCTCTAAACTGCTGTTGAACACACACACACACACACACAGACACACACAGACACACACACACACACACACACACACACACACACACACACACACACACACACACACACACACACACACACACACACACACACACACACACACACACACACACACACACACACACACACACACACACACACACACACACACACACACACAAACAAACAAACAAACACATTTATGATGACATAAACACCTCACATTGGTGATTAGGAAATATCATAACCTTTTAATTTATACAAAATAACATTAAATATTTAGCAAATAAAATATAAATCAAAATTTGTATTTTTATTATTTGCATTTTTAAATTTTATTTTTGCATCCACAGGTCACATGGTGTACAAAAAGTCCTTTTTTTTTAAAGATATGGATCTCTTATTAGTATAAAAAAAAGATTTTACAAGATGCATTTGCACAACTTTTGTTTCACAACTTTCACAGTTTTTGTGTTCATCTTGATATTCTGAATCCTCAGGTTCTCTGTGAAATCACACACTATAACTTTCCAGGAAAAAAACACACATTTGTGTCATTGTATGATTGTTGGAATGATTTTTCCTGAGAATGAGTTTGTCTCATAACACTTCACAATAATATTTAATCAACACAATATCGCAGTTTTACACACATTTGTAATGGAAAATGCACCTATTGTCTGTTTTTGACATTCAGTAGTAGTACCTGTGTGTTGTCTCCTCAGAGGTCTGCTCCACCACACTGAAATCAGTGCCTTCATATGCACCAATGCCAATCTGTGCCACTTCCTGTTCCACTTCCTGTGCCACAGCAGTCTCCTCTTGCTCCACAGCCCCTGTTGCAGTCTCAAACGCCTCCTGCACCAAAGTGTCCCCGTTCTCCGACACATGGAAGGTTACAATCTTTTGAGGCTGTAAGGATGAGCCTTCACTCCCAGAGCCAGATCCAGACCATGACCCCGTCTCCAGAGCTTTGCCATCTGTTTTCAGCACCGCCACCTGAGTAGAGTAAATAAACCGATTATCCGCTATGGAAAAATAATAATTTATAAAATCTTACTTTTTTTTTTTTTTTTTTACAAATGGCCTAATAATGTCATTTAGATCATTTCTTAGTGTTCCCACTCTTTGATGGACACCAAATTCAAAGACTTTTAAATCACTAATAATTTTAAATCAAGGATCTTTGCAATCCACACCTCAGCAAATATATTGCTATGAAAGTCCTATCTGTACTTAACATTTCACTTACACTTAACATTCATTAAAATGTCATGATGATGATGTTTTGAACGTGTCATTTTAAAAAATGTTGACTGTTTTAAACAACTTTAAAGAACTTTAATACAATTAGTGGAATTCAGTAATGGTAATATTCAAATGGGGTTTCTGAAGTATTGATAACAATTTTTATTTGTCATATGTAAAATAAGAATTTCTTATTTTTTTTCCATTGAGTTCTTTGAAAGCAGCAATTGTTGAAATAACATCATCAACTTTAAATTCAAGCACTTTCAAAGACCTATGATTGTTTTTAAGTAATTTCCAGGTTTGTTATTCATATGTCTGAAATTCAAGTACTTTCAAGAAGCATGGGAACCCTGCATTTTATATTTCAATAGAATTATGACTTATTTCATTACAAAATACCAATGTGCCACACAATACCTGTAGTTCTCTGGCATTGCTCATGTTCAGCAGCAGATCTAGAGCATTCTGTGCTGAGAGGTCTGAGTTCTGGGCTATTAGAGAAGGTAAACATTTATTTAAATGAGCAATCTGAATATTATTATCACAATGTGAATGGTGTAATATGTGTAGATGAATTTAAAAAAATACACACATATTTTAGATATAATCACTGATCTACTGATAACTTTTCTACTGACCTTGCTCGTAAATGATGGTAGTGTTGCCCAGTGCATCTTGGGATACAGATGTGTTCCCTATGGACTCCATGGTTTGGAGAGTAAGAGGGTCCACTGTTACCTTTAGGTAAAAAAAAAAAAAAAAAATCAATAACAAATAAGTAAAGAATAATCAATGGTTTTCCATGTGTTAAAATGCAATGATTAGTGGTACTTTGGCTCCATAAAGTGCATTTAAAATCATTTAATACACAGTAAGCCATTGTTTATATCACTTATTATATTATATTATATTATATCACATACAATTGCCAGGTTATATACAAGTTAAAACTAGTATTTGTTTTTGCGGTTTATTTGTCAATTACAACACGTTAGATTACCATGATCACTACTAATGTTTAAGGGTAGCAAAACTATTTAGAGCTGTAACCAAAACTGACTGGAACTACCTGTGCATTAAACTATTGATCAAAATCTGAATAAAGAATTAATCAGACCATGGAAAAAGCATGATATACTTTATATTGTATTTTCTTGAAAACAAGTACCATTTTTACCATCTAAAACATACAGAAACATACATTTAAAAGTGATTTATGTAATGCATTTAGCATCAAGCAACCAAAACATTCATAAGTTAAATGGATTACATGAATCAAATAAGCCATGTGAGTATTTGTGTAGCACATTTATTGGTACTTTCAGATATAATTAAAAGAAAATTAGTTTGAGACACAAAATATACTAGAGTTTTTTTTGCCATTTACATACAAGAGGATTAAGATGCACATCCATGTACTCACAATGGTCCCTTGAAATTCCTGGGTTTCATGCTGTAACCTCAGCTCCTCAATCTGCTCCACAGTGAAAACAGGCGTCTGCCGTCGCCGGACCGGCTCATCTGGATGTGTTCGACTCCACTCTTCGAAAGTCTCGGGGTGGCGACACTGCACATGGAGCCGCAGATTCTTCCTGTGTCGGGTCGTGAAGTGGCACATTTCACAGGAGAAGGGCTTTTCACCTGGGTACAGATGAACAGACATGATCAAAAAAAAAATCCACCAATTTAATTTATAAAAGAAATAATTGATGCCAGAGGGCACACTCACTGAAACTCCCTATGCTAATAAAGGGAATTAGGAAATACCAATAGTCATTACTGAATGAACAGAAAATTTGACTATTTCCATTGATTCATCGTGTGTAATAAACACAAGACTATGGAACCATCTCAGAGAAATATTTATTTCAAACAATCGACTGTTATGAAGGGAGATTGGAGTCAAAACATACTATTATAGACCATATGAATGTGGTGATGTTATTGGCCCATCAACATTTCAAACTATTTTTTAATTGTAATGAGGCAATTTAATCACATCTTAATGTTAAAACAGCTATCATAATATTATTTATTATCATGTGGACCTTTTTGGATTCTCGAAAGCTATAGAAGCTAAAAATGTAAAACAGAAAACAGGTTAGGACTACTGTAACTGTTTACATCCCACAAAATGGTCTGTAATGTGGTCATTTCATGTGCAGCTTTTATTACACAGAGCTATAGTTCCAGAAGTGAAACAACTTGTGTTATTATCACAGAATGATTATATCTGTGTCATTTTTGACTGATTACATTTTTTCAGAGTTTTGCATAGGTTATCAGTGTACTAAGACTCTGTGTAGTGTGTAGTGAATGCTGCTTCATTTGAACGCATGTGCTGGACGTTTACCGGCTCTACTGACAAAATGTGCATGAAAATTGTCTATTAATCGCCCAGCCCTTCCTGAAGTATAAACATTCCTAACAATTACACCACTCACCAGTGTGTTTAATGGCGATGTGGGACACCAGGAAGTCTTCTTTGCTTGTTGAATACTTGCACTCTTCACATTTGAAAGGTTTGTCGTTGGTGTGGGACAGCTGATGATTGAGCAGGTGCTTCTTGTCATTACAGGTGTAATCACAGAACTCACACTTAAACCTGACAAAAGAGCAAAGAAATAGATACTTTGGCTGTTTGTTTAACAGACAAGTACAATTTTTTTTTACAAGTATACACTTGTCCAGACATCTTACTTACAGGCTGTTGCCACAGTTTTGTATGTGTGTGAGAAGATGCATTTTGAAGGTGTATCGCTTCTTGAAGGATTTCCCACACTGTAAAGCAACACATTTACACTAGTGTTACCATAGTAAATAAAAACAGTATTTCCTGACAGTGTTGTCTTTGGGTTGTTTAGTTGGGGTAATTAGAGCTGCCCTACAAATAATCACTTCCTTCAACAATACCAATTGTATTGAACTAAACTGAATCATCATTAAACTAACCATAACATAACAGGCATTAAATGTGCCTTATAAACTGAGCTTTACCTTGTCACACATGTGTGGTTTCTCTGTGCTGTGTGTCTTCATGTGTTGTGTCAGGCGTTTCTGCATGGGGTATACTCGACTGCAGATGGGACATGGAAACTCAGACACTTTGGAAACCTGTGAAGGGTTGACACAAGACTGTTGTCGCATGAAAAACTGCCCTCATCAGACTGGTCAGAATTAGTAATATATCATGTCAATAAACATTTTTTAAAAACTATTATTTCTGCATCCTGGATCTTACCACATCTATCTTTCGGCTCCTAAAAAGAAGAAACAAGAACACTGTAATCAGGTGTGAATTTTACATCTATGTTTTGTAATAACATGCTTCTGTTTAACGGAGAGAAATTCTTTTTCAGCACATTTCTAAACATAATACTTTTAAAAACTCATTTCTAATAACTGATTAATTTCATCGTTGTCATGATGACAGAACATAATATTTGACTAGATATTTTTCAAGACACTTTTATACAGCTTAAAGGGACATTTAAAGGCTTAACTAGGTTACTTAGATAAACTAGGCAGGTTAGGGTAATTAGGCAAGTTATTGCATAATGATGGTTTGTTCTGTAGACTATTGAAAAAAAATCTAGCTTAAAGGGGTTAATAATTATGACCTTATAATGGTGTTTAAAAAATTAAAAACTGCTTTTATTCTAGCCAAAATAAAACAAATAAGACTTTCTCCAGAAGAAAAAATATTATCAGACATTATGGGATAAAATTAATGGCAAAAGTATTTAATTAAAAAGCTTGTTGAATGGCACAAACTGAAAAAAATAATACACTGAATTAACAAGTTCTTGCGTTTTAATGACTTGAATTCCAGGGTTCGTATTTTAGGTCCTGAAATATAACATATCAGTTTATTTCAGCTGTGAATATTTTAAGAAAAAATAATTTAAACACGTTTTCATACTTGTAAATGCAATAATTCATATTCAATTTTCAGATTTCACTTACAAAATATTCAATACCCTTTAAAAATACGATTTACAACATTCAAAAGGCAATTTTCAGTTCATTTTATTTCAATTCTATTATTCGCTTTCATAAATTCAGTGGTTCAAATTCGACATTACATCCGAGAACTGCAGGAAAAGCAATAGATTGCAGATTGAAGATCACCAGCTGCTCTTTCATCAGCAGGTGGAGATGGAATAATTTAAGATTTTTAACCTAGTAAATAGACGAGCAAAATGCTAATAAAGGCACAAAAGTAGCATTTAATATTAATATCAATGCCTTGGACATTATAAGTAATAAAATGAGTATGAGTAAAGAGAGTAAATGATGTTTTATTCATCTATATTTGCCCTAACAGTCGAATTTGAACCACTGAATTTATGGAAGCAAATATTTAAACTGAAATAGCATTAACAGCTGAAATAAACAGATATGTTAAATTTCAGGACCTAAACATAAAAATCCTGGAATTCAAGTCATTAAAATGCAAGAACTTGTTAATTTGGTGTATTATTTTTTTCAGTTTGTGCTATTCAACCAGCTTTTTAATTCAATACTTTTGGCAATGATTTTGTTCCATAAGACATACTGTAAAAATTTCCTGAATCTGTTAAACATCATTTGGGAAATATTTAAAAATAGGAAAAAAAAAATTCAAAGGGGGGGCAAATAATTCTGAACTCAACTGTACATACAGAAGAAGAACGTTTTATTAATGCAAACTGAAATGCAAGTAGTTGCAAAAATGCACCATAAAAAGTACACAAGCACATAGTTTATCCTAAGGATTAGAAAAATAAAATGATTGACAAATGATCAACAAAAAGTGGACGTTTTCAGTTCTTACTTGCTTTTGTTGTGGACGGCTGAGTGCCGGGTCACGTCTTTCTTGTAAACACTTGTGTAATCACACATTTCACATTTATAAGGTTTTGTACCTTCATGGTTGAACATGTGCTCCTATTAGACACACATCAATTAAATAATTAGAAGAAACAACAAGTAATGCAAAACAATGACTAAAAATAATACATTTATTTACAGTCATATAAAATATAAATATTTACAATACTAAAAGAAGTGAATAAAATATCATTGTTCTTACAGGGGCATTTACATTTAAATAAAGAATGATGTGTACAGAAAAATCATTAATAATAAATAATTCAGCATCATTTTATAAATGGCCCTATTTGTGGAAATTATGAAAATATTTACATTAAAATTACCATTAAAATGACAGAGCGAATAAACAGTTAAGGTCAGGCAGGTTTATTTATATAGCACACTTCATTCATAATTTAATTCAAAGTGCTTTACGTAAACAGGAAAAAAAGAAACAACAAATCAAAAATGATTAAGAGAATTAAAAATTGATTAAAATATGTTAAAACAGGTTATAAATTTTTTTTAAACTTTGTTTAAAGAAGTACTCTTTTTCTTACCTTCAGTGAAGACCACCGTTTGCAGCGGTAACTGCACTGAAGGCATTTGTATCGTTCAGGGTCATTTCCCTCATGAGAATCCACATGGAACTTGAGATCCTCTTGTGACAGAAAGCGAGAGCCACAGATCCAGCAGTTATGAGGTCTAAGCAGAGGCTTGAGGGATCTGTAGTACTTACTTCAATAAAAAAGAGAGATATCGATAGTGTAGATTCTGCAGTTAGTATAATAAAACTCTATTCACCCAAAGAATAAAAAAGTATTAGCATCCAAAAAATGCACAATATTGCTGTTTATTATTAGATACTTAAGCTCTTTAAAGCATGATGGATTCTGATTGCTTTTTTTAAATAAAATACCAATTCCAGATATCAATTTTATGTACTTTCTTTATTGCTTTATTAATCAGCCTTAATATGAATGGGTATTTAGTTCATATAAGATGTACCAGCGACCTTTTTGCTGTGAGTTGAACGTGCTACCCACTGCACCACCGTGCAGCCTGTTATCATATTGCTCTTCTTTATTTTTACTATTTTCTGTTTAATTTTGATTTTGTATAATAAATTATTATTTTTTGGCAGTATTTTGGATGATGCATGGTTTTCATTTCCTCCAGTATTACACAGAATGGTCTATGGCAGGGGTGTCCAAACTTTTTGGGCCGAGGGCCAGATGCAAAAAAACAAACGTTGTCGCGGGCCAAATTTTACATACATCACACAGACACGCATATATATATATATATATATATATATATATATATATATATATATATATATATATATATATATATATATATATATATATATATATATATACAATTGAAGTCAGAATTGTTAGCCCCCCTAAATTATTAGCCCCCATTTATTTTGTCCCCAATTTCTGTTTAACGGAGAGAAGATTTTTTTCCACACATTTCTAAACATATTAGTTTTAGTAACTCATTTCTAATAACTGATTTATTTTATCTTTGCCATGATGACAGTAAATAATATTTGACTAGATATTTTTAAGACACTTTTAAACAGCTTAAAGTGACATTTAAAGGCTTAACTAGGTTAATAAAGTTAACTAGTCAAGTTAAGGTAATTAGGCAAGTTATTTTATAACAATGGTTTGTTGTGAAGACTTAAGGGGCTAATAATTTTGACCTTAAAATGGTTCATAAAAAAATTTAAACCGCTTTTTATTCTAGTCGAAATAAAACAAAAGTCTTTCTCCAAAAGAAAAAATATTATCAGACATACTGTAAAAATGTCCTTGCTCTGTTAAACATCATTTGGGAAATATTTAAAAAAGAAGAAACAAATCAAAGAGGGGCTAATAATTCAGACTTCAACTGTGTGTAGACAGACAGACAGACAGACAGACAGACAACAGACAGACAGACAGACAGACAGACAGACAGACAGACAGACAGACAGACAGACAGATAGATAGATAGATAGATAGATCATAACAAGAACTACTGCTTAATTGAATGCATGTAATAGCGACACCTGGTGGTTATTTATTGAATTACGTTCATTTTTGTATAGCGGGCCAGATTCTATTATTATTTATAAAAAGCCTCGCGGGCCACCACAAAACTGATTGCGGGCCGCAGATGGCCCGCGGGCCGTAGTTTGGACACGCCTGGTCTATGGTACAATATAAATGTTACATACTTCAGGCTCTAGATTAACATCAAGAAGTCATAACAAATAGTAAAACAATACTTACTTGCGATTCATGTATTTTTTGTACTTCTTTTGAAGGAAGCGTTTGGAAGGTCGTCCTCGTTTTTTGGGCAGGAACTCAAGATCATCGGGACTGGTGTTTGATGAAGGATCTCTGTTCTCAGAATCTGACTGGCTGACGCCTGGTTCCACTTCTGTCCCATTGGAAAACGAAGAAGATCCGTTGTCCAATCCGGAGGAACTTGCTTCTTCAGGAGCTTGAGGATCCTCTGTATTGTTGGTTTCAGATGGTGCTGCTGGTGATTCTGTTCATAAAATTCATATGAAAGTTGCTATTTAAACATTTTCAAGAGTTCACACTTAAATAATGCTTGACCATGTTAGCAGGTTTGGCATGCTGTCCCAGGAGAGAACCCAGAGCTCAGATATAGATGAGCCTAAGGCTCCCGCCTGGATAATGAGCATTTAAAGGGATGCGAGATCAGGTAGATTTCGAGAGCTCCCCATCCGATTCATTTGGAATATTCCTTGATTAATAAAGACGGTTCTAATAGGAATAGACCACCAACTAATTGAAGATAGGAAGTAAAATTAAGCTGGATATTTATGTTAAATTTTGAATAATCCTATTGGCTAGCTATTGATTACTGATAAGGACTAGCTGTGGTCAATCATATCACGCTCTTCTCAAAATTAGTTTGTAAAACTTCACTTATTATACCTCTGTGACCCAAAAGGTAGATTAACCCTAACCTGAATCTGGAAGAAATTTGCGAGGAGGCCCCACCATCCTGCGAGGACGTTTCCGTGAGGTAGATGCAGGAGATGATGAAGAGCAGGAAGGAGGAGGAGTGAAGTGACTGACAGCCAGTCTGGATCTGGCCTCCTCATCAGCTGGTTTATAATCACTGTCACCTGTGTGTACAATTAAAATGCATTCAAATATAGGAAATGATGAAATATATAGAATGCAATCTGCACTCCACTGACCTTGATCATCAAGAGCGCCTGCATCAACAATGTCATCTTCTTCCTCTTCAGGCTGCTCCTCCTTCTTGACCACAACCACTGCTCCAGCTTTGCTTTCAGATTTTCGAGGACGTCCCCGTCCACGTTTCCTTTGGCCTGGACCGTCAGCATGTGAGACAGCACCTCCAGAACGAGAACCTAAAAAATACCTGTAGGCATCAGTGCTGATGGAATCTTAAAAGTTAGCATAAAACAGTTGTGCCTTTTATTAAGTTTTTTTTACTATTTAGAGCTGATTTGGTGTATTTGTAAGTGAGATGGCTTCTGGAAAAATAAACATAAGGCGGAATTTGTTTTAATCTATTGGGAACTGAATGGAGGTCACTACAACAGATGAATTTGGATCTAAAGAGCCTTTGAGGCTACAAAGTGCCCAAGGACATTTTCCCAAGCCCTAAGTATAGACTCGAGAAGAACTGTGTGCTTTAAAACAGGGCCAATAATGGAGCTGATTTTAATAAAAAAAAAACATCAATTACATCAATTATTAAAAAACATATTCATCTAACATTTTATGAATGTGTATTTCGGTTTGATATGCAGCAATACCACTGAACATCACTGTACTACTGAACAAATACAGTGTTCTTTCAACAACAGCATGTGGAACTTCTAGCTTTATATATTTTCATTTAACACACTGAAGAATTCAATCAAGAATACAAATTAGAACTTGTGAATCAGAATCGAATCAAATTGTGACACAAAACTGAGAGCCAAAGTAGCCACACCCAACCAAAGCATCATTCTTGTGCAGCATTACACCCCAACATTGTGACATTAAAGACAATATGACCTCCAGATGGCACAGTGGCTAAGTGGTCAGCATTGTCGCCTCACAGCAAGAAGGTCACTGGTTTGAGTCCCGGCTGGGCCAGTTGGCATTTCTGTGTGGAGTTTGTATGTCCTCCCCCTGTTGACGTGGTTTTCCTCCCAAAGACATGACTTTTGGTGAATTAAAAAAACTAAATTGTTCGTAGTGTATGAGTGTGTGTGTGTGTGTGTGTGTGTGTAAAAATGAGTGTATATGGGTGTTTACCAATACTGGGTTGCGGTTGGAAAGGCATTGATGGATTCGGATTTCTGTCTTCCAATACATCTCAAACAAGGATCAACGTTTATCATTTTCTCATCAACCTTTTTCTCGTGGCTTTAATAATTTGATTATTTGAATCAGTTTTTACCTGTGAAATTATTTTGACTACTGAATAAAGTAAACACATTGCTTAACATAAGAATGTTCAGGTCATTTATGATTTTTTAATCTTTATAATTCTATTTTCAGGAGCCACCAAAAAAGGTCAGAAGTCATAGAGACATCGAGTGGAACTGAAGGGCTTGATGATAGAAACAACTGTTTTCCTATTTGTGTTGCTGTGTGTTAATTCTGTCTAAAGTGATTTTGATATTATTATTATTATTATTATTATTATGTGTTCATTCTGTCTAAAGTGCTTTTGATATTATTATTATGTGTTAATTCTGTTTAAAGTGATTTTACTTTTAATTCAAGATAGACTTTGTGTAGTGAGAAGCAGTGGTGTAAAGTAACAAACTACAAATACTCAAACTGATATAATTGAGGAGTTTTTCTCAGAAATTGTAATTTACTAAGTAGTTTTTAAAATGTGAACTTCTACTTTCCCTTGAGTACATTTTTAGTGCTGTATCAGTACTTTTACTCCACTACTTTCCTTCAACCTGCAGTCACTACTTTATTTTGTCTTGTCTATGGGGATAAGAAAAATCAGTCTTGTGATTTATGTCTAACCAAATCGCACATAGAAAGTAAATCACATCATTATGATCTACCTCAAGACTTGGGCGATTTATAATTGCAGGAGACTGTTTGGAAGCATGTCACTGATGAAAAAAGTATGAGTGTTTACTGTATGATGACCGAAATGGCCTTAAACACCCAGCAGGCACAAGACCTCAACATGAAGTCAGATTGATGATGTACCCCAACATCATAGAGACGTTGCATTCTGCTCGGAAATGAAAATCGGGTTGATGTCAATGTCCAACCTAAAATCAATGTCTAATGATGTTATAGCTTGAGGTTGTGTGGACGCTACCACTATGATGTCTATATTTTACATCAATGTGACGTTGGTTTAAGATGTTGGCTCAACGTTGGATTTTGGTCACTTTCTAACACAAGCTAAAATCTACCAATTATCAACGTCATTTGACGCTGATGTTGGACATGAAAATAACATTGTCTTTAGATGCTGACTTGACAATGAATTTTGGTCACCTGGCATCACAACCTAAATCTAACCTTATATTAACGTCTTATGACGTTGTGTGCCTGCTGGGCAATAACTAAAATGCACTACAGAATGTTACGTTAAAATACATCGACAAATTTACATGTAAATGCATCAGCTTTTTACAGCGTAATACTCACTACTCTCGAGTACTTTAGAAAGGTCAACTTTTTTACTCATGCTTTGAGTAATATTTACAACAGATACTTTTACTCTACATTTTTAGGCAAGTAATGGCACTTTTACTTAAGAATGATTTTTCAGCACTTTTTCCACCACTGGTGAGAATATAGCAGCCTAAATGTAGATTACACCGGTTTTTGACCAGTTTTGATAAAGATGGCTGAAAGTACACTCAACCCTGGGTAAAAAAACGGATTGTACTTTGAGTGTGTGTGTTCTATTTGATTGTAGATCCTTTCACAGGTCCAACCTAGTGGATGTCTGACATTTGTATGCTTGAGATATTGAGATATTGTTCAGAGTTGTACGCACAGACCCACATGGAAATTTTCTAAGCCTTTCTGTGCTTTAACCAATTAAAACACCTATATGTATGATGCAGTTATGTTATGTAAGAGTATAATTGTTGGTTTGTGATTGTAAGCAGAGCGGCCTAGGAACTCATTGCGAGTTTTGAAGCTGGCTTCAGCAAACTTTATCTGTACTCTTTTTTTATTTGAATCTGATTCTGACTCTACATAACTGTTAATTATCCCTACAGCATCCACTGCATAAAACATATGCTAGAATAGTTGTTGGTTCATTTCGCTGTGGTGACCTATGTAATAGAGACTAACCCAAAGGAAAATGAATGAATGAATTACATGACCTCCTCCTACTTTACCTGCTGGTTTAAAGTGTTTGTCTCTCATGTGGTTGATGAGCGTATCCTTGGAGACGCTCTTATAGGGGCACATTTTGCACTTAAACTGTTGTACGATCACCACCTCCATCATTTCCTCCAGTTCGGCCATGTTAGGAGTTCTTTGCCCAGGCTCGTCCACCACCCCAGACTCCACCACCTCAGGCTCTGTGTTGGTAGAGTAGGTCCCACTGCTACTTATGTACGGGCCAGGCAAGTTATCACTGCAGTCCATCTGATCATTGAGCTGCGACCCCACAGTGTCCGCCAGGGAGTGCTGAACGGCTCCTTCATCCGCATATAATGATTCCTGCGGCATGTAGGAGTGCTGGGGCTCTTCTAGCGCACCTCCTTCCTGTTCAGAAGCCGAAACGTGCTCCCTGTCATCCATACTGCTGTCGATGTAACGTGAATGCTGAGGCCGATCCTCTCCGTCCGCTTCGTACTCCAAGTACCCATCACTGCACTCCACAACGTAGCGGGACGAGCGATACGAGCTTCTCTGAGGGATATCGTTTGTACCACTGCATTCAGCTGCATAGCGCTGTAAAGGCTCTTCTGAGTCAGCCAGGTTGTAGTCTGTGACCCCTGAATGGCGAGGGGTTTGGTCTGGTTCGTCTGCAGAGCATTGGATGTAGCGAGCCTCTCTGGTCTGGTCCGGGTCTATGTATTGGGAGTGCTGGGGTTGGTCTGGGCGGCTGCTGCTGCTACTGCCGTCGTCGTGCTCACGGTATCCTGAGTGTCCAGGCTGGTCAGGCTCCATGTTGCCTTGAGGGTTTTCTGACAGGTCTGGCTGATCCAGGCAAGTGGAGGTGGGTCCATCGGCAAGAGCTTCGATAGCAATACGGCTGGACAGTGCAGAGGAAGACATCTGAGCCACCATAGGAGCTCCTGCACACAAGGAAAGGGATAATAAAATATCTAAAAGCTATATATGCTTCAGTTGACATGAAAAGTCTTTTCTATTCTTTTTGCTATGATGGTGGCAGATTATGATGGTGGCACACATTATAGCAACTTTAAACTTTAAAACTTTGAAATTCGATATTTGTCACACATATTGTGAAATGAACTAGATGGAAAGGTAATTTTACTTATCAAAACTACTGACATTGTCATGAATGGATAACTTGTCCAAAAATGAAAAAGCTCCTATGATGTTTTCATGCATTATGGTGTTGCAAACCCTTTTTTGTTATATTATTGTGTGCAAAATATTACAAAACTTCAAAAATACAAAACCTGGCGAGATTTAATTAATAGAAGAAAATAATTTTTTATTGGTGGTTTAAACACAGTTGTGTGACAACAGTTTGTGAATATAACCAGCTTAGTTACTACTAAGTTACTAATAGATTTTAGTTTTAAAACAACGTTTTAGAATGAAAATGATCCGCGTCCAGTCAGCCTTTCACCCAGCGTTTCTGAACAACCCTCTGTCGACACTACACCTCTGAAAAGACACATAACTTGACCACACACACTCTGGCATGCACTGCAGCGGTGAGAGCTGTTCTCGTTAGACTGTTCATCCAGGATCTACCACTGGATCTAATCTCATTATATTTGTTAAACGTAATATTTAATTCATTTAGTCTCTATCTAACAACATATTCCGTGACTTTGGTCTTTTGAATCTATTACTTATTGTCAGGTAACGTGTTTTGGCTGAGCACAAAGATAGGTTAATATATTAATTAATGTAACCACGTACATGTACGCTGATTCTGCAAATTTGACTGATTGCTTCCATTTACTTCCTATATTGTATGAACTTATTGTCATTATAGTTTTATAATGGCCATTATTGATTATTAAAACTGATATTCAGCAAAAGACAGGGTGTGTTTCGTATTTTCAATGATAATGAAAGGAAGCAGTTGTGTTAAAGGCTCTGTTTTGTTATAAATAAGCATACAGTGAACATTTTTGGTGACTGTTAAGTTGCTTAAATCATAATTAAAATAGGCATATCCTTCTATCATGTTTTAATTTTATTGTTAAGAAAGTGAAACACACGTAGCCAGGGTGATGTGAATGAGGTTATAATGTACACTGTTCCCTTCGAAGATTTACCCGATTTGTCCTCGGGAGTTTGTTTAACATATAAAGCCTACGAAGTCTGAACTTAAAAGGAGTAGATGCAAGACTGAACTGTGTGTGTAGGCTACTTAATATGAAGGGAAAAGCCCCAATCGGATAGGTGAATGACTACAGCCACGCCTCCGTTTTCAGATATCTCCGTTTTCCCCCCATCCACACTGACACGGAGCAGCAGCGTTTTAAACGACCTCTTTAGCGTTTCCAAAACGCTCTGTTTCCGGCTCTCGAAAACTGTGGCGTAGTTTGGACAGACGACCTAACTATGGCAAAACTCATGCGTTTTTAATCTAAAATGTATTAGTGTAATAGGGGCCTTATAATTGTGACAAAGGATTTATTTAAGTTTTTTCAATCACACATCATAAAAACATTCTGCAGAATCACTTTGATTGACATTCTCCAATTGAACATGTCATCAGAAGGGGAAAGTCCAGCCCATTAGTGACAATCTCTGCCTCATTAGCATAGGACATTAGTTTTGTTTTTGAATTTGCCACTATGCTAACACACAGGCATTTCTAGTTCCACCCTCTTTTGAAAAAAGTGCTGGGAGCAAAATCTCATTTGAATTTAAAGTGACAGTCACCAAAATGGCACAATTAGCATCTGAGCCTAAAAGACACGTTTTAAAGAGTTATAAAACATTAATTGTGTGGTATTTTGAGCTGTAAATTCCCATTCACACTCAAGAAACCTCAGAGTCTTATTTTATATCCTGTAAAAAAACTGCATAATAGGTCTGCTTTAAGATGATATTTGTTTTTAACTTTAATTCATATTTTGGGCGCTGCTTACACTGATTGTTAAAGGGATAGATAACTAAAAAAAAAGAAAATCTGTCATTATTTAATCCCTCTCCACTTGTTCCAAACTTGTTTTACAACATAATTCGTAACAACTTATGCGTTCAAGACAGAAAAAAACTGATAGATGAATGATCGACAAAAGTAGATGAATGGTGAATAAATTAGCATTGTTGGGTAAACTATCCTTTTAAGAAGCATTTTCATTGATCTAATTACAGGTGGATTAAACCAAACACAGTTGTAAGTCAACCACTTCCTAAGGTGTCCCTGCACCTAATCTGTGATGAATAAAAATACATGGAATTTGATATTTGAAATAAATATAAATAATGCACAGTGTTTCAATAACTGGTAAGAGCATGTGAATGTGAGGTATGTGATCTACATGGAAAATATTCAAATATCATGGTTTCACACTACAAATGTTTTTCACCAAAAAAAGCATTTTCATAACAACCAGAGTTAAGCATCGATTGAAAAGCTTATATTTTATATTCTATACTTTCATAATTTTGGGATCCTTCTCACCATCATCAGGACCTTGGAGTATCAGATACTGTGTGGTTTCTGCACTGCCATCCTCTGCACTTGTAACTGCAATACATCCTGTAAAAAGGACATAGGACACGTGATTAAGATAAAAAAAAGTACAATATAAAAATCAAAGATTACATATTAGCTACTTTGGGTATTAAAAGGTTTTTTTCTACCATTCATAATGTCGGGTCCAATCGTGGACTCGATGATCTTGTCAATAGCTGAGCCGAGATCTGAGGAGGTGGAAGCAGTGGAGTCAGAAACCATCATTCCTCCTTCAGAAACAGCACTGGAGTGAACCAGCACCTGGACAGACTCCGACACCAGGACTGACTGTGTCACTGTGGAGACGCTGGACACACTGGTGGACTGCGCCACAGAAGAGGAGTCTGGAAGATGAACTCTACGCACATCAGTACTGGAGCTCGTCTCTGGGATAAAAACCTAGAGCACATGCAAACTTTCATTAAGGCGAGAGACTAAAAACAGTGTTTACAACTGACATCATTTTTTTCATAAAGTGTTTTTCAGTCATGAAAAGAAAACATTTATAATGAACTTTTGAAAAAATCAATATGCGTTTATAGATTTCTATTGCAAAAGAGGTTTTTAAATGCAGTTTTCAAATAAGTTTTTTTTCTCCTGCATAAATCTCCATTTTACCAGCATGTCCATCCACTTAACTCTATTCATATAAGTATTCTTAAGGTTTTTACAGATATGTATATACATAATTATACAATATAACATTTTTATTCCACAAAGAGTTTGCAGTATTTTCTCATTTAGAAAGTGATAAAAGTCATATATATATATATATATATATATATATATATATATATATATAAACCCTAACAGGCCATATTATTAGGTACACCTTACTAGTACTGGGTTGGACCCCTTTTGTCTTCAGAACTGACTTTGTCTTTCATGGTGTAGATTCAACAAGGTACTGGAAATATTGCTCAGAGATTTTGGTCCATATTGACATGATAGCATCACACAGTTGCTGCAGATTTTTTGACTGCACATTCATGATATCGATCTCCTGTTCCACCACATCCCAAAGGGGCTCTATTGAATCGAGTCTGGTGACTGTGGATGCCATTTAAGTACAGTGAACTCATTGTCTTGTCCGAGAAACCAGTATGAGATTTTTCGCTCTTTATGACTTGGCGCATTATCCTGTCGGAAGTAGTCATCAGAAAAAGGGTACACTATGGTTTTAAAGGTATGGACATGGTCAGTAACAATACTCAGGTGGGCTGTGGCATTGACAAGATTCTCAATAGGTAATAATGGGCCCAAAGTGTGCCAAGAAAATATTCCCCACACCATTACACCACCACCACCAGCTGATTGTACATTGATGTAAGGTAGGATGGATTCACGGTTTCAAATTCTGACCCTACCATTCAAATGTCGCAGGAGAAATTGACACTCATCAGAGCAGGGAACGTTTTTCCAACTTTTTATTGTACAATTTTGGTGGGCCTGTGCAAATTGTAGCCTCAGTTTCCTGTTCTTAGCTGACAGGAGTGGCACATCGCTCTGGTCTTTAGCTGCCATGTGATTGGCCGACTAGTAATTTGCATTAAAGAGCAGCTGGACAGGTGTACCTAATAAAATGGTCAGTGAGTGTATATCAACTATGGAAATATAGTGAGAACTTTCAGTTGTTTATTTTTATCCTATTTACCTGCAGTGTCTTTGCTTAATGTAAATTGACACAGAAACGTGCAAATTGTTTGTCTTACCACAAGTCCCTCAGAGCTCTGTCCTACATGACAGTCTGATTCTGGGGCAGGCGCAGGAGGAGCCGCTGCATCACTGCTATCAGCAGACATGGCTTCTGAAGACTCCATGCCCATACCGCTTTCAGACGGCTCCTCCATCCCAGAATGCCCCACATCACTGCTGCTTTCCACTTCCATGTCCTCCGAATCCATGTTTGCTCTGTGGGAAAGTTTGTCACTCAGTAAGACAGCACTCAATTGGACATTGTGTGAAAAATACATACAAGGGCATGAGTGATATATGGACAAGTGTGCAAAATAAAGTGTAATAATTAAATATAATCATTTTATATAAAGTGTTGTGGAGGCAGGGATTTTAAACCTTTATAGAATAAAACTATCAATAATATTTTACTCAAACATATACCAAATAAATTGTACATTGCAAATGGTCTCTTATGTGTCAAAATGATTTTGTGGATGCTTAGTATTGTCATTTATCTAATCCAATATATAATTAATTATTTTCATTTATAAATGTTAGATATTAAAATATTGTTAAAAACAGTCAGAAAGTAGCATTTGTATGCCATGGTGCATTCATTTGATCGTTAACAAGCAACATGAATTATATATATATATATATATATATATATATATATATATATATATATATATATATATATGTATATATATATATATACACACACACATATACATATATATATAAATATATACATATATATACACACACACACACATATATATATATATATATATATATATATATATATATATATATATATATATATATATATAAACTTTAGAACGTTCACAAAAGATTTCAATTTATATATATATGCAATTCCAGTGTTATGGATGTGACACTTGTGTGACTTTGGTAAATCAAATATAATAGCGTGTGTGTATATATATATATATATATATATATATATATATATATATATATATATATATATATATATTATTTTTTTCCAGAAATTAAAGTATATCATCAAAACGTTGATGGCAGTATTGTTTTTGGAATTTTGGAAATAGGTATATACTTTGCTTACATTCATATTCAAGTGTTTCATTATTTTATATATTCTATTCCCTCTAATATCATAACAAAATCCTAAATTAACTTATTGCACATTTGTTCTATTCTTATGATTTGTTGTCCTGAATTTATTTTTATTTCCTATTCTGTTTTAGTCGACAGCTGTAGTGTCAAATTCCCCAGGGATGAACTGTTGTCTTGTGATCGCACCTTTCTAGGTCACAATAAGCACATTATAAGCTTACCAGCACAACCACAAGCCATCGTGGTCGACTCGTTAAATGCTCTTAAATACCAAAAACACAGCACCTAAACTACTTGATTTCACCTATTTCCCCAATGATAACACCTCTCCTCCTGCTGAGCAGCCATCAAATTGTGCTCGAGACACAAAATCCCTCTTAAATAAAGGACAACATGGTTTCGGTCCTTCATGAGCTCTAACACCTCTAAATGTCGAGCACACCAACAATTTTATAGTGAAAAAGTCACTAAATTGCATCCTAAATTGTACACTTGAGCCCTCGGACGGAACGTGTGTCTGTTTCCAGCTCGTTTCAGTCACTAAACTAAGCGCGTGTTTTTGCTGCCCTTCATCCTGCCTGCTCGCGCTGCGCCATTTTCCCCTCCCGCCGCTGCCAGATAATTTTTCCGCTCAGGCGATATGAAGAACCGCTCGGGGACCTCGAGGGCCTGCGCGAGAAGGGAGAGCCAGTCCGCCCGAATGTTTTCCTCTTGCTCATCATGGAGAAACATGCATTTTAAAACCAATTAACCTGATTATTATAAGCTAGAAATTTTTCTTACCGTGAATAGATGTGTGTTTTTATCTTCCCTCTCGAGAATGAAGCGAAATAAAATAAATGTTTCAAAGCGATTAGTTGCTACGGCTTTCTAGTCGGGCGCCATCAGCGTCTCCTCGCTTCCTGTCCTCAGAGCTGGCCGGAACTCCTTTATTGTCACGGGAAAAGACGAGTGCGGGAATCTTTTAATCGGTATTTTCAATGGAAAAACAATTATTTAAACATTCACGTTCTGTTTGGGAATATAGATATCGTCTATTTCGCTTAATATCATAGGTTTTCTGTCAAATAAAGTTGTAAACCTAAGGACTATTGCTCGTGTACTTCGCGGATTAATACGACGCTAGTTGTTTATCTGAAAAGTATACTTGTTTGTATTTTTAAACCAAAATAATAAACGTTTTTCCACCACAAGTTGAATTCGAGGGGGTTAAGGGGTTTCCACGAGCTAATTTTCACTTATTAGTTGAATCTGTGTTATAGAAATAGATTTCCATTATACCTCACTATCATTCGAATGGCGATGTGATTAATATTTATAGCTTCAGGTTTAAAAATAGGTATTAATTAGTCCAACAACATATCATATTTTAGTATTTCATCTTAAGGCGAACACATTTAGGCAATGTGCCTACTATTGTGAGCAGCATAAGAATTAGGTCATTTTCTACACCATCATCTGTAATGGATCAGGGTATTTTCGTGGCATTCCTCATAACCATCGTCTTGATATTATGAAATAATTCTGTTTTTTTTTAACTGATATTGTCATCATTGTTTTTATAAATTTTTGTAAAAAAAATCATTGTGAAAGGATATAAAAAGTATATATTTATGGAGAAATGTGACAGAGAATGGAGAATGCTACAGAGCATTCAGCAGCAATGAAAGTGCTGCACAATAGAAGTTTGGGTTAAAACAAAACACCATAAAAGTAAAAGCAAATTGTGTGATTACTTAGATTGAAATAGCATACATTGACGTGCCTTAACTGAAACGACAACAGAAATGTGTGTGCATGTTTGGCAAAAATCAAGATGATATTTTTTTTCTCCCAAGATTGCATAGTTGAGTTTGTTTACCACAATTTTTTAAATGCAATCAATTCAATTTAAACCATACTTCAGTACTACCCCAATAGCGCGTGGTGTAGCAATTAAGTAGAATTACTTTACTTTTATTTTACTGTGGGTATAAGTAAATGTGAACGTGTACATAAATGGATCCTGAACATACAGCTGCTGTTAAATACTACTGAGGAATTTGTTTAACCCTTTAACTACCCCACCAAGAAAAAAAAAGGTTGGATCGCATTTCTTAACCCCAACACTACCCATAATTTCTTACATATAAATTTATTACATATAAATATTTAAAATAAAAATAAAAATTTGTATGCTAAATCACCTTTCTTTGAAATATGCCATAAAATATTTCAGATTCTCATTTAACATGTTTTCTTGTTTTTATATATATATATATTATATATAATTAAAATCACATGTATTCGTGCAGCAGGATTATGTTTGTTTGATTTTCATGGTAAACCAACAATGCTGTATAAGTTATTATTTAAAACAGTAAAAAAAAATGGTCAACCGTTTGGTAGAGGGGCAGTCAATAGTCTAAAATGGTAATTAAATCACTAAGAATCAACACAGATATCAAACCCTTGTGTAAAAATTCATAATATAGCAAGAAATAATAACAAATCACTCACACAAATATTAAAGGATCTTGTTTACAAATTTATTAAGTAAACAAACACTGCAACAAACATAAAAATATAAATAAGTGGAAGGTTGAACATTAAATTAATAATATTAATAATATCATTTACACCAGGCAAATGATTTCACAATATGGCAAAATCTGCAATCCCCATCATTAGCTCTAAGGCTAAAAATAAACCTTTGCATTCAAAAACATCTGAATGGGGTCAATGCAGAATACGGGTGCTTTGTTCACAACAAATCGGCTACAACATTCCTGCGGAGACTCCACTCACACATTTACAAGCACAAAGTTAATTCCTAAAGTCAAACGGGCTTTGCCTCGTTTTCTACAATAATGTGCCATTAGGAAACCCATCATGACCAAAGCAGTTATGTGGGAAGCTGAAATAATAAATTATAAGACCATGGTAAAGCTGACGGACAAATATGCCTAACATCCCGTCTCATGTGCCTATGATAATTTCAGTGTTAAAACTGTTCTTTTCCTATAACAGTTAAAGTCAAAATCCCTTTAACAGACACTTGAAATTTAATACATTCTGTCTGTGTCTTCCTCGCTACATTTTACACTGAAGAGAAACGGTTTCCCTGTTAAAAAAGGGCTCTGTCATCAGATTAGGATGTCGAAGGTCTATAGAGAATGAATGTCACTGCATTTCAGGAGGTCGTACTTCACATAACCGACTCGGTCAACCTGCCGTTTGGCATTCATTCTCCAGTAGAAGCTCTCCCGGCAGAAGTAGAAGAATCCTGCAAAACATGAAATGAAGATGTCATAAAAAAAGAGATCATTCATTGAATTAGTTTTAATTCTAAAAGTAATTTAATTTACCCTTGTAGAGGAATACATCATGTGAATCAACGGGCACTCCACCGAAAGCTGCATCAGTGAATCGAGGGTATCCTCTGTCAATCAGCTGAGCCTTTACATCAAGTCTGAGAGGAAATATAAGAGATAAGTCACTATTGTAAAAAACTAAAGCTATAAAAAGTAAATAAATATGTATAATTCATATTTAATATGGAATATTATGGTAATTATTTGCATATGTTTTTAAAATAAAAACAGCCTTATACTGTTTAATCAAAATAGCATCTCCTTCCTCCAGCAATAACATCTCTGATGCCATGGTTACAGGTGCTGCTCACTCACGTGAGACCCACCAATGGTCCAATCAATTTCCATTGGACAAAATCAATCAATCAATTCAATTCAAATCCTCTTTATTTCTATAGTGCTTTTTACAGTGTAGATTGTGTCAAAGCAGCTTAACATAGATGAAGTTATGTGGCATTAAAACTGCTTCAGTTCAGTTCCGTTGTCACTGTTGAAGTTCAGTTTAGTTCAGTTCAGCACAGTGTAAGGTAAATGTCACTGCTGTAAGCCGAAAAACTGAGTAGCAACTCCACCGATGCGCAGTTCTTCATATTTTTTGGCATGTGAAGTTGCAATAGCAAAGAAAAGACTATCGCAAATACTGGTTTATATTGATTCTAAAATTAGTACACTTTCTGATCAGCTCTTAGTTATAGTTACTTACCTCCAGAAGTTTTCTCCATTAAACAGGAGCACCTTGCCTTTTCCTCTCTGCATAGATCCTTCCACTTTGTCCAAGTCGCTTGGTAGGCCGAGCTTCTCGATTTTACGTGGTCCAAGCACATCATTTCCACTGTAAACCCAGAACTGTCTCTCTGTGTGGATTAAATACGGATGATATTATATTTCTGAACTAGGGGTGTGCAATATATTTTAATATTGACCAAAATAACAAAACAATATTATACTGAGTGTGCTTTTGATAGATTTCCAGGTATAAAGAGTTGATAATCGTCCATTAAATGATTTGTTCAAAGCAACTAATTGATGTAGAAATTGTGACAAACGACTGCTTTTGTGACTGACTGAATCAATGAATCATTTAAGGATTAATCAATGTAGTGTTGCTCTGAGATGCAAAAAAAAAAGTTCTGCTGAAGCTTTGTTTGGAACCGTCGCAATCTTGCTAGTGTGATACCAATTATTTAGAAAACAAAAACTTTTATAACTGATTGAAGTTTTATTTGTTTTATTTTGGGTAGAATAAAAGCAGTTTTTTATGTAAAAAAAAAAAAAACATTTTAAGGTCAATATTATTAGCCCCTTTAAGCTGTATTTCGATGGTAAAATATTATTTACTGTCATCATGGCAAAGATGAAATAAATCAGTTGTTAGAAATGAGTTATTAAAACTATCATGTTTAGAAATGTGATGATAAAATCTTCTCTTCGTAAAACAGAAATTGGGGGAAAAAAATACCTTCAGTAAAGTCAGCTTGCAGTTAAAATTTTGATTACAATATTACTGCAAATGGCAAAATATCTCAACCAAGTAAATAATAACCTGAGAAGAAGTAGATCTTTTTGGTGAGGTGGTCCTCAAAGGCAGAGTTGATGACAGCTGGGAGAGCAGGCCACTTCGCAGAGATCATGAAAGGACCTTTGCGTTCACCATTGCCTGAGATCTTCCAGTAGCGCCTTGGATATTTAAAGAACAGAATTGAGCAACATTAATTTGAGAAATGTGTTGTTTGAAGTTCTTATCAGAATATATGTAATGCCCGTACCCGTCCTTGAAGAAGTGAAGCTCCTTCTGGATTTCAGTGATGGCGTCAAACTCCTTGATTTGGCAGGCATCGTCTGAAGGGACCACCTGAGTTGTGGTGGAAGCAGTGGTTGTTTTGTCACTTGGAGAAGGTTTCGTTGGCACAACTGGAGAGGAAGTGGTGGTCCGTGGTTGAGGAGCAGTGGGTTCAGGGCCAGTTCTAGGTCCTTAAAACACATAATTAAATAAAAATGCAGATATAAAACCAGAATTGAGCTTCAGAATCAGTTCATCTTGAATAAGAAATTGCATAGTGATCTTAAAAACCAGTGGATATGTACCATAGAGATACTGAATGCCATCAATATCGTCACGATGCAGGGGGAAACCCTCCACGTATTTGTACATGGGATACATCAGGGCATCTTTAATGTTGGAGTGATCCAAACCAAGAGCATGTCCAAACTCATGAGCAGCCACCAGAAACAGACTGTATCCTACGATGGGAAAGATCATGTTAGGTAAAGTTCCTAGAGTGTCCAAACCAAAAGAGATGACTGTCACTTACCACGATCAGGGCAAAATCCCCATTTTTTATCAGTATCATAGTTGCTGGTAGTTCCACACCAGAGTTTTCCATCATTGCGGCCCTCACTGGTGCAGGATGAGTATGTGTTTCCCAGGAAGGTGAATGGAAAATGGCATGGCTCTCCTTCTGAGTTTCCACCAATCACAGCCGTATCTGTGAGGGAGTATATTTCATATAAGGGACGATGTACTGTACATCCATTCAGATGTCATCAGAATATACCAGACAGGGCTTTTGATTAAGACTCAAAAGCAGAGGGCTTTAAAACAACCTAAAGGGGTTTATTTGGATATTAAAGGGACAGATCACCACAAAATGAAAATGAGCTTTATTCACAAAATAACATAGTTTGAAGAATAGTGAAAACTGGTTATCATCAAATTCCATAGTGTTTTTTCCAACTATGGAAGTCAATGGCTACCTGTTTCCAACATTTATCAAAATATCTTCTTGTTGTGTTCAACAGAAAAACGAAACTCCATTAAAGGTGTAAAAAATAGTTAAAATTCATGTTTAGGTGAATTATTCCTTTACGTTTTAAGGTAAGTTTACCTCTGTTAGGGCAGAATCCATACTTCTTATCAGTGTCAAAGTTAGCTGTAGTGGAGCACCAGCGATATCCGTCATTTCGTCCTTCTGTAGTGCATGAATCATATTTCTTCCCATCAAAAATGAAGGGGAAAACACATGGTGCTTCATTGCTGTTCCCGTCAAATGTGAAGAGAACTGTGGGATGGCAGAGATGGAACATCAGAGAATAAATACAAGTTCTTATTAAAATATTGTGAATATATTAAGGTTAAAGCTCCATAAATTCAAGATTAGCATACTTACGCTCACTGGGACAGAAGCCAAACTTCTTGTCCTTGTCATAGTCTGCGGTGGTTGAGCACCAGGGAAGGCCATCTGTGCGGCCCTCAGTGGTGCAGGTGGAGTAGGATGTTCCCTCAAACAGGAAGGGGAAGTGACACATTGCACCCTCAGCATTACCGTAGCGGGTTTGAATGGCTGAAGGAGGAATATTATTGTCAATATCTACTATAATGTAATATATAGAAACATTATGGTCGCCTCTTGTATTCCTGAGATGTATATATATATTTTAGATTGCATCCAATATTGCAAAAACAACACGTTTATAAAATGAAAATTTGTATTATTATTGTTGCAAAGGACATGTTAAAATGCTATCTCAAATTGAAAAACAAAATGGTGAAGAAATATTTTTACTCAGAAGTTGCTAATAAACACAAACAATAAGAATAAACATGGAAGATTAAAAAAGAAATCTTAAATAGTATTTTACTTTAAAATAAATATATATAATAATCATTGTTTTAATTACAATTTTGAAAGAAAAAAGTTTGTAACCGTCACTACTCATTCAGAACTGCAGAGGGAGCTATTGCTCCTCTATGCACACTATGCAGTTGTTATAATAAAGAGCGATGCTAAATTATGTTTTAAACCACTTAACCTATTTATCAAAGCTACTTGAGTTAAAACGACACTCACCTGGTCCAGAGCCAAGGGTCCAGTATTCATCGTCATCAAAATGAGCGTCTCCCTGTGTGCCTTCACCTGGAGGATAAGCGTGAGCCAGCAGCCCATCTTTTCCATCAAAGGGGTAGGGATCACCGTGATCTGAAGCACAAATAGCAGCTCATTCAAACATTCTCAGAGACTGATGGCTGAGTAACGCGAGAGCCTGCGAGACCTGAGTGCGAGATCCAAAATGGCGGCGCCTGTCTGCTAGACAGCAAACAACTCCGAAAACTTTTTTCCTCCGTATTTTCACTTTTCTCCGTGTGTTTCGCCCATCAAAAATTTGACTACATCATTGCAACTGGACTACAATTTTTCTTTTTTTTCATCCTGGATCAACTTGAAGAATACATCGACGTACATTACAACACATACTGCTGCAACATGGACACAACAGACCACAACAAAAAAGGTAATCCCGCTCCAAACTTCAAGAGACCCCGTCCCGACTCTCCTTCAAGCATGAATTTACCACCCTCCTCACCATCTTGCTGTACCGAGGTAAGCGAAATATTACGCTCAATTGAAAATAAACTCTCCGGACTCGACACAAGAATCGCACTAATAGAAGTCATTCACAAAGAATTCCAAGAACTCCGTCACAGTTTAGAATTCAGCCAAGAACAGATTGACACACTCACTAAAGAAAACAATTTTTTAAAGGACTCAGTTCACGCACTTACCGCTCAACTCACCTCCGTTGTCACAGAAAACAAATCAATAAAGGAAAATGTATTGGACTTACAAGCACGCAGCATGAGAGACAATCTAGTTTTCACAGGCATCCCGGACCAAACTCCAGACGACCCCGAAAAATTAATCAAGGATTTCATGACAAAACAACTCAAACTGCCAGCTGAAACTGTACAGAACATCACCTTCCATCGTGTCCACCGCATCCGTTCCCAACATAACAACAGCCGACCGCGTCCTATCGTTGCAAAATTCGAACACTACAAACACAAAGAACTGGTACAAAAACAAGGGAGACAACTTAAAGGTACAACTTACGGACTCAACGAACAATACCCAAAGGTCATTCTCGAACGTCGAAAAAAACTCTTTCCAATCAGAAAACAAAAAATGAACGAAGGAAAACGAGCAATCATTACAGTGGACAAATTATACATAGATGGACAGTTATATCGTGACAAGGACATTACCCCCTGGCTTTTTTGAACGCATCACTCCCGTAATGTTACCTCATCTCTCTATTCATCTCCCTCATATCACTAGATTATAGTTTTGTTATCGCACCTAGGTCTCATCCCCCCTCCCACCTTTAACTTTATGTTGGTATTTAAAGTCATTTTTGTTTGGTCATTATTGTATTGTGTACATTTTGTCATGTCATACACACAGACACAGGTACAATTTCACACTTTTTCAAATACATACAGTAACATTTATGTATTTGCAGTAAAAACAGACTTGTTTATCAATATAAGTTGCTACTATTTACCTACTTATTTTGTAATCCTTTAAAATTATGTCATCAATCAAATTTCTATCCTGGAACGTCCGTGGACTCGGCTCCCAGGCAAAGAGGATCAAAGTTTTAAATCATTTAAGTAAACTACAAGCAGACATATGCCTTTTACAAGAAACTCACTTATCAGAACTTGATCAAAACAAAATCAAATCATCACAATATCATTCATATTCTGCCCACTACAACACAAAACAGAGAGGAGTGTGTATCCTAATAAATAAAAAAATATCATATGTTCATAACACCACCATTACAGACCCAGAAGGACGTTTTGTCATAATTAACATTACAATTAACAATTACTCACTTACAATAGGAAACTTATATGGCCCAAATACAGATGACCCATCTTTTTTTCAGATTTTTTTCTCCTCCATTTCAAATCTTTCTAATTGCCCCATCATAATAGCAGGTGATTTCAACACAGTTTTAGACCCAACTACAGACAGAGTTAATAATATCGGCAAAAAACACATCTGGAAATCTACAGACTCTATAAAACAGTTCATGAGTGACATGGGTCTTGGCGATAGTTGGCGCCTCCAACATCCGGACATTAAAGCATTCTCATTTTATTCACCTGTTCATCATTCATACTCCCGCATTGACTATTTTCTCACTAGTAATTCTATTATATCCAATATTTCTGAATCAAAGATCCACCCAATAATCATTAGTGATCACGCTCCTGTAACAATAAATCTGAATATAATCACCAGACATAAGCCCATTCCTAGATGGCGATTCAACACCTCTCTTCTTCAAGATCAGGATTTTGACAGTTATTTTAAAAGAGAGTGGGCATGCTTTCTAGAGATAAATGACTCCCCTGAAACATCCCCATCTCTTCTGTGGGAAACAGGAAAGGCAGTATTAAGAGGAAAAATAATTTCATATTCCGTTTACAAAAAAAAGAAAGAGAAAGAACATCAAGCTGAACTGGAACAGAAAATTAAAGATCTAGAAGACATTAACATAAATAATCCAACAGAAGAAACACAAGATTTGCTAAGAAAATATAAATCACAATTAAATAAATTAATTAATACACACACTCAATTCCTTATTCACAGATTACGACAAGAACACTTCCATCATAGTAACAAATCTGGTAAATATCTGGCTAATCAAATCAAACACAATAAAGAAAAAACAACAATATCAGTCATTAAGGACTCAGCAGGGAAACCCACCAACTCACCAGAAGAAATAAATCAGATCTTTCAAAAATTTTACAGTAATTTATATTCCCCTGAAAAAAACCCATCCCAGGATGACATTCACTCATTTCTCAGCAATATCAACTTACCTCAACTAAATGAACAGCAAATAAATAGTCTTGAATCCCCCTTATCACACCTAGAAATTTCTAATGCTCTTAAACTCATGCCTAATAATAAATCACCAGGACCTGATGGGTTCCCTGCTGAGTTCTACAAACACTTTTGGTCAATTTTATCACCACTTTTCATCCGGTTGATTAACGAATCAAAACAAAATTCAAAGCTTCCAGATACCATGAACACAGCCACAATTACACTTCTCCTCAAACCCAATAAAGACCCAACATTACCGTCAAGCTATCGTCCAATCTCACTAATTAATGTAGACACTAAAATAATTGCTAAAGCACTTTCACATAGAATAGAAAAAATCATGCCATCCATAATCCATCCAGATCAAACCGGTTTTATTAAAGGTAGACAATCATCAAACAATACACGCAGACTCATAAACCTAATACACCACTCATCAATAAACAAAAACAAATCTATCATAGTCACCCTCGACGCTGAAAAGGCTTTCGATAAAGTAAACTGGAAATTCCTGTTTTCCACATTAGAGAGGTTTGGTTTTGGGGAGTCATTTATTAATTGGATCAAAATTCTCTACACATCACCCTCAGCTACTGTCATTACTAACGGACTAACATCACGCAGCTTCACTCTACACCGGGGAACTAGACAAGGATGTCCACTCTCTCCCTCTTTATTCACCATATTCATTGAACCACTTGCAGCAGCCATCCGTCAAAACATTTATATTAAAGGAATTCAAACATTAAACATACACCATAAAATAAGTCTTTACGCGGATGACATATTATTATACTTACAAAATCCCCAAACATCATTACAGGAAACAATAAAACTTATTGATACCTTTTCAAATATTTCGGAATATTCAATCAATTGGAATAAATCTGCTATACTCCCATTAAATTCCACCAGTGTGGATGTGACATCCCAAACATCACAAATCCCTCTGTGCACTAATTATATCACATATTTGGGTATCAATGTTTCCGCCAGGCTGTCAGAGTTGTTTGCACTTAACTATACTCCGATACTTAAAAAAATAGATGACGATCTGCAACGCTGGATGAACTTACCACTATCCATCATGGGCAGAATATCAGTTACCAAAATGTCCATTCTCCCAAAAATAAACTATTTATTTTCAATGATTCCAACACAACCCACACATACCTGGTTCAAATCCCTAGATTCAATTATAACAAAATTCTACTGGAAAAATAAAACCCCAAGAATAAAATTGACAACCCTACAGAGACCAAAATCACAAGGAGGATTAGAAGCACCACATTTTTACAACTATTTTTTGGCAAATCAGCTTCAAAACATACACAATTGGATTAAACCTAACTCATCAGAATACACATGGCAAGACATTGAACAATCAATATGCAAAGACATTAACATTTCAGAATTACCCTTTCACAGTCAATCAATCAAGAGACATCACTGTTTTAAAATGCCGACAATAGAAGCAACTCTGACAGCCTGGTGGAAATTCCATCAGGTCACAAATTCCCCACTCGAACCATCTAAATACACCCCAATTTGGAATAACCTTGATTTCCTAGCCAACAAGAAGCCACTTAACTTTCACACATGGGCAGCCAAAGGAATCACACAACTTCAACATATCTTTATTAATAATAATCTGGCACCATTTCCCCATATAGCCCAGACATACAGCATTGGGAGTAATTGCTTTTTGGAATATTTACAAATCAAATCATCAATTAAGTCAAAATTACCTAACCAATCAATCAATCTAGACCTTCCACCTCAAATCTCAGAGTTTATTAATATATCGCCCTCCAAAAAATTGCTCTCCCAAATATACAAAATGATATCAAAATCAGACAATGCATTAGTTCTACCAACCACTAAATGGCAAACAGACTTATCTATTAATCCCAATGCTGAATTCTGGACTAAAATTTGCAAAAACACATTTTCCATGACTAAAAATGCTAACTTACAACTTATACAGTACAAAGTACTTCACAGATCACATTTAACTGGGCAGAAATTATTTAAAATGGGTTTCACGTCAGAAATATGTTCACATTGCACACAAAACACTCCAGACACATATCTTCATGCCTTATGGCATTGCACTTCAATTAAATCATTTTGGGTAAAGGTTACTGACTCACTCTCCAACTTAATGGGTTGTCACATCCCACTGTGTCCCTCCCTCTGCATATTAGGTGACATATCCACAATCAATATAAATAATACAAATGGTCAGTTTCTGCTGGTGGCTCTAACTATCGCAAAGAAAACTATCCTCATGAACTGGAAATCAAGAAATACCATTCACATCTCATACTGGAAAAACTTGTTAACAGAATACATCTCCATTGAAGATCCTCTTTGCCTGAAGCCATTCCCTAACAACACCTTCATCAGTACATAAACAAGAGGGGAGGGGAGAGAGGGGGTCAGGTAGAGATGAGGAAAAAAAAAAAAAAAAAAATCTAATATTTAATCTAATTTAAAATAAATAAATCAATTGGAAAAAAAAGTATAATGTAAACAAATAAAATAAAAGAATCATAATTCAGTCTTTATATACTTTTTTACTTTCCCTTTTGTTCTATTTGTTCCCCTTTCCTGTCCCTATCAATGTTATTTATTCATTTTTATTATATATAATATTTGTTTTCTATTTATTATTATTATTATTATTACTATACATAAATTATTATTATTATTATTATTATTATTTATATACCAGTGGCTCTCCTGACCAACAACAGATAAAAAAAAAGAAGAGAAAAGAAAAAAAAAAAAAAAAAAAAGAAAGAAAGAGAAGAGGAGGAAAAAAAAAAAGAGAGAGGGAAAAAAAAAAAAAAAAAATCTACTTACATGTACTAAATTCACAGGGTAAAGTGTAACGTAGGCATGGCAGTCTGGGCACTGCACTGGACTGATCCATGCCACACGTTACACTTTTTTTAATGCATCACAAAGCAACTGACAAACACTATATACCTCAATGCCCATCACACAACTACAACCTCCTCAATTTATTGTTACAGCTGTTGTTATTTTTATTATTATCATTATTATTAGTATTATAACCAGCATGAGTATATTATAGTTATCAAATTACAGTAATAATCTATCATACATATCTTTAATATTATTCTTCCATGTGGAATTGTATAATTCATAATTAGCATTGATATAGTGTTTTCTTTTTTTATTTATTCAGTTTTTATTATTATTATTCTTTTTTTTTTTTTTTTTTTTTTTTTTTTTTTTTTTTTTGGCTTATTCTTGTTGCTTTGTTTGCTGAACTTTATTTTTCCTCTCTCTTATTGTTTCTTTTTTCTTCTACTCCTCCCCTTCCTTTTCTGTTTTTATTTTTTATTCTATTTTATTTATTTATTTTTATTATAAGTATTTTATTAATTTTTGTTTATTATCATTAGTTTATTTTCTCTTTTCCTCTATCTCCCCTTCAAACTTACTACTTACTACTATTATTATTTGTTATTATTATTATTATTATTTATTATTATTATTACTTGTCCTCTCCCTGATTTTCCCATCCTCCCCTCTCCTCGACACCTTTGTCATAAATGGTATTACTTTTATTTTTTGAAATCATTATTATTATTATTATTACTGTTCTGACTTGTCCTGTTATCTTTCCATTATCATTATTACAAGTATTTATACCATTATCATTATTAAGGTTGCAGTTGTTGTAGTAGTAGTAGTAGTAGTAGTTGTAGTTGAAGTAGTAGACAGTGTAATAGTATCGATTGTTATTGAGTAATTGTTACGGAGATTTTTGAAGTAGTAGTTCATGTAAGTAGTAGCAGAAGTAGTAATGGTGTGGTAGTTACAGTAGTAGTAGTAGTCGTTGTTGGTGTAGTAATATCAGTAGTAGATGTTGTTGATGTAGATGTAGTAGAAGTGATTGTAGTAGTAGTAGTAGTAGTGGTAATAGTAGTAGTAGTAGTAATAGTAGTAGTAGTAGTAGACGTTGTATTAGTTGTAGCAAACGCTATAGTAGTATCAGTAGTGGTAGTCGTTGTAGTAGTATCAGTATTAGTAGACATTGTAGTAGTAGTAGTCGTGGTTGTGGCTGTAGTAGAAGCAGTAGTAGTTGTAATATAAGTAACTTTTTGTAGTAGTAGTTTGTGTAGCACTTGTGATTTATTATTATTGTTGTCAGTTATTACTGTTGTCCTTTCTTTCTTTCTACTCTAATTTTTACTATCATACATTAATAAGCATTGTTGTTACTCCCTACCTCTGACTGGTTTCTTTCTATATGTTTTATCTATATCTGTGACACTTGCTTCATTTATTGACTGTTATTGTTCCTTATGTATGTACTCTGACCTGTCCACCAAGTTACCTTTACATGCATACACACACTCACACACACACACTCACGCACATACCAGTACATGACTATATTGTTGTTGTTTTTGTTTTGTTTTTGTTTCGTTGCTTTGTATCTGTTATTTGTTGACGTTTTCTTGTATTTGTATGATTTTTGCATATTCTAATAAAAAAAAAAAAAAAAAAAAAAAAAAAAAAAAAAAAAAAAAAAAAAAAAATCATGTTTGTGTTTAACAAAAAAAAAAAAAAAAAAAAAAAAAAAAAAAAAAAAAAAAAAAAAAAAAAAAAAAAAAACATTCTCAGAGAGTGTAAGTGTTTAAACTTAATACTTTCATACAAAATACTCGACTCACCTGCTTTCCCGAAAGAGATCATGATGTCAGCAATGCCGTCAAAGAGGCGTGTGAACGTCAGAGGGGTGACGTCACTCCAAACTTTAAAAGCTCTGGCAAAAGCATCATCGATCAAAGAGGCTTCCATGTCTGGCGAATAGTTCAAAATCCTGCAAATCAAATGACACAGTGGGTTATAAACAGGATTAATTATTAAAAGATTGCATGCATTGTAGATTCAAAACATTCATACTTAGCTAATTGCCAATTTGACTATTAACAATTCTTAGGTAGCCAATTAATTTTCAGACATGCTCGTTCCTGATGTATTTAACCCTTTATTTTTCTAAGTTTTAGTTCAAAATGTTATTAATTACACATTTTTCCCAATAAAAAGAGACTAATTATGATTGAAGCGATGAATTATATGAAAATTGCACAAGATTGTGTAGGCCTACTTAACAAATGATAATATTATTAAAAATTGACCTAGAAATTTTCAACTATTGACTTAAAAAAGTATTTATAGTATGAATGCATTCAAAGTTTATTTCAAAATCAGCAAATACAACTTTTTAAGTATTTCTAGAGCCGACTTTTTGTGAATTTATAACAAAGTTGTATATCATTACATTGGTCTACAGTGTTTAGCATAATGTAGTACACCTCATTTTGAAAATGAATATTTGTATGCTTTTCTCAGTGAATATAGGCAATGTATTTTGGTGCATTTAAACAAAACAGATTTATTAAACAGATAAATTTATTAAAATAATATTTTAGTCACCAAACATATTTAGAAATGGAAAGATAATACAAATAAAATCAAGCTAAATGCAATATTTAAAAAAAAAATACAACCTACAAAATTTTAACAAAATTTTTATTTTTCTTCTTCTCTTAATTTTTCCTTTTTTTAAATGTGTATTTAATAATTTTCTATAACGTATAAATTTGGGCATACTAGTTTTTGGACCGTTATCGTAAGTTATTTTGTTAGATGAGCGGCAGATTTGGCTTCAGTGCTGACTAATTTAATGTATATGCACAAATATAACATTGTATAGCTTCCTATTGAAAATATGACTTTAAAAGATAGATTTGTGAGGGGTGAACTTGTATATGTACACACTGTAGATGCTGATAAGGTATGGATAAAAAAATGTTTTTGTCACTAAATAATTAATTCAAGAAATTCCATTAAAAACACTGGCTTATTAAAACATTTAGTCAGAATCTCTAGTGCATCACACACTATTTTATTCGTTTATTAAGCAGCTCTATTACAAAACTCATAAAGTATTACAAATTTAGTATAAGATTTAATGTGAATAATGTCCCACCTGTATGTGACATCTGTGTGATCCCACTTCAGGTCTCCGTCGAATGTCTTGTAGTTGCGGATGTCCGGCACGCCACAGCGGGGCTGCTTCATGGCATCAACGGTGGGCTGGTCAAGCAAGCCGGTCTCCTCCAAACCGAGCTGCCGCTGGAGCTTCTTCAGAGCTTTAGTATTGGAGACGACCGCCTGCAGTCCGCTCCTCTGGAGGACATCGATGTAGCCGTAACGCTTCAGATACTCCTGAAGACAAACATTTATGGACAAAACAAATCATGCGGAGCTATAACATCCAGTTATTTGCACTTTAAAAGTAGAGAACCGAGAGGAGAAACCCAAACAAATCATAAACTAAAACTGCTTCTACTTTAGTTTAATGGTCTGCTTTTAAACAGTCTCTTAAATTTGCAATTTAACGTCTTTGAAGTTTTATTACTATCTCGTAACTCTTTATTTTAATAGTCCTTTAACAGATGTTCTACTAACTATAAGTAAGTTTGCAAGTACATGTCAACTTGTACTATTAAAACCGACAGTATAACAAGACAGCTGATATGTAGTTGCAGACTTACTTATAGTTAACCTGGAAGACAATTACACTTAAAGTGTATCCCTAAAACCTGACATACTCACATCCGCTAGCTGTGTGTTGGTCATGTTCTTGATCACATCTCCAGGAAACGTCACGAACACAGATTTGAGTGGCAAACACCAGGCTCTCAACGAGCAGGTGCCCAGAACCAGAAACGCCAGGACTCCAAGTCTCATTTTGAGTCGCAAATATAAAAGTAAATTCAGAAGAAATCTGGAGAAACTGTCTTGCAAGTGCTCAGATCAGATCAGATGAAGTGGAAGCAGTGTTGCTGTGTCTGCTCCAGCTGGTTTACTGTCTTTTCTTGTGCCCTGAAGGCAGTATTTATGTGGTCTGTGTTAGTCACCCCCTCACCCCTCCTTTAGGCCATTTTATCACTCCCACTAACAGCACTTGCCCACTAAAAGGAGTGATATGTTTTTGTCCATTCAAAAAAAAAAAAGAAGGGGCTTTCCAGCAATCTCACATTAAGTGTGAAAACACAAAAGATCATAACAAAGACTATGTTTTCTTTTATCTAAATCTACATTTCCTAAACTAAAAAGTTTCTTAAGTAATAAAACAAACAGTCAGATATATATATTTATTAGATTAGTCAGAACTGAAGCCAAATCTTCTAGAGCTTATCTAACAAGATAACGTGCGATTATAATTACGGTCCAAAATTTAGTTTACCAAAATTTTTATGTTATTGAAAAATATTAAATACAAATTTAAAAAAGAGGAAAAATCAAGCAATAAATAAATGAATAAATAAAAATTTGAAAAAAAAAATTTAAAAACTTAGTTGAAATTTTGTAGGTTGTAATTTTTTTGTTGTTGCAATATTTTGCTTGAGTTTATTTGTAATTGTATTTCTAAATATGTTTAGTGACTAAAATATTGTTATAATTATATTAGTAAACATATCTGTTTAATAAATCAGTTTTGCTAAAATGCATCAAAACACATTGCCTATATTTACTGAGAAATGCATACAAATTTTCATTTTCAAAATGGGGTGTCCTCAATCATGCTGAACACTGTAGATATATTAAATGCGACTAAATATATTTAAAAATTATTTTAAAAATACAAGAAAAAATGCAAATGCGATACAAAATTCAAATCCAAATAAAAACAATTATACATGTATTTCTAAAAATAAACAATCAAACAGACTGTTATTTTAACAACTAAAATTTATTTAGCTGTTAAAATATTATAAATATTTTATAAATATTATAAAAATATAAATATTATAAATATAAAATTTATTTCTAGAGTTTTTTTGTGCAATGACTTAAATCTTTTATGTTCAATCCACTTAGATTAGTAAAAGCAATTAAGTTAACTTCACACAATGAATTTGTGTTAGGACAACATGAAAGAAGTGTGTGAAACCAAGTGTTTTTACAGTGTATACAAATGAATTATATGCAATATTATAGAAACGACTTCATTAAAGTTCATTGCATTGAAAAATAAACTAACCCGTCTTACATCTGTTTATCTTTTTAATCACATCCCAAACAAATAAACATTAATACATAAATAAATTAAGCAATTAGTTAGTATAAATCTACAAAAAATAAACATTAATCTATCAAATAAAGATTTATTTATACAGATAAAGTCATTAAATTTAAAATAAATGATTTTTTTTATGTCAGATTTTCAAAAGGGTGTATTTGCAATAGTGACTTGTGCAGAGGAACAGAAAGAAGATAATGAACACCAGAGAAAGTGGTTTTGGATTGTTATTACCAGTCAAAATGACGAATAAGTGTAAAGTAACATTAACCCACAGGAAACTCATCAACTTAAACTGGTCCAGGTAGGTAGTCTTATTGCACAATTTCCGTCTGTTCACCAACATCCAGCAGAATGACGTACAAACACAGGTGTTTTTTTCAACATAGCTCTATAAACTTACAAAACACAACATTTCACAAGAGTGTGTTGGTCTGCTGTGTGGACATGCATGTTCTGAGGCAGTTCTGTGCCCACAGGGGAAAGAAATCCTCTTCCATACATGGCCATCATTTGGTCTGGTTCCAGCAAAATAAAAAAGAGGAAGCCATCATCTATTATTATTTAGTTGCCTAATGATGATGCTTTGCAAATGAGGATGTAAAGAGGAAGCTGTTGAGTGATGTGCGGAACAATCATATGATAATTGCCTCATTTTAGATCAAGTCTCTAAAGTAAATTAAGGGAAATGTTTGTCACTCACAGAGATAACGTAATCAATTTAATAACTGCCATTTCTAGATATTCACATCACAAATGCAAAAGTCCATAGATTTTTTTTGTAATGAATCAAGAAATACTCTCGTGGCTAAAAGCATCTTGTATGTCAAGTTTTTGCTATTTTAGACATGAGAGTTTGTTTCCTCTCTTTCACTGTACGCTTGATAATGAATCATAAGCTACAGTGGGCTGCTGACTTCCTGTAAATAGAGAACTTTTAAGGACCTGACAGTTTATTTAAATATCTTCTTGTAATTACTTTAGATGATTTATTTAGGTTTATTTTATAAATGCTGGATAAATTGAAATATAAATGCATATATATATTATGTATGTTTAATGTGCTAACCAGGGTCTTCATTGTTGTGTTGTGTCTTATGACAAAATTTTGTGTGTTTTGTTAATTTGGTCTTGTATGTAAGGACCCCCTTTAAACTGAGATGTTACATATTAAGGGGTTTATCCTTAAGCATAAATGTTGTTACAAATAAACTGTCATGACACCTTTGTAATAATAATAATAATTCATTCATTCATTCATTCATTCGTTCATCTTCTTTTCGGCTTAGAAAACCACCAACTTATCCAGCACGTTTTTAAACAGCGGATGCCCTTCCAGCCGCAATCCAAGTTCTGGGAAACATCCATCCACACACACTCATACACTACGGACAATTTAGACCAGGAGTTCTCAACTGGTTTGGCCATAGGACCCACATTTTTACATGGTCATCAGGCTGCGACCCAAATTTTTAGGAACTATAAAACAATTTTAGGAATTATAATTAATTTGTATTTATGTGTTAACATACACAAGTAGTGACAGATAAATCACCAAGACTTAAACAAATAAACAATATTTTATTGCTGTCATTTAACAAAATGTATCAAATATAAAAATATTACAAAGTAAAAACGACAAATAATGTAAACAGTGGTTAGGGTAAGGACAGGTTCAGTTACCATGAACTAAACTGAACTGTTAATAAAACATGTTGTCTGGTTTCTAAATGCCGTTTTAATTCAGAAGGTTTCATGCTCTCTTGTGAGAGCACCTCACTACATATGACACAAAGGCTTTAAGTCTGTTTTTGTCGTTAAAATATGTAATCGCACTTGCGCTTCAACATATTTGTTTCTATAATTAACTGAAATTTCACATGTCAAATGGTAGGGTTGTCGCATATGCATTTCAAAATAAAAGTCCAGTACAAGCAAAATAAGTAAAAAATTTCTTTCTTTAAAAGTGTCAACACAATAATATTTACTGACATTTAATGATACTTAATTACAAATTCAATCTGTACCATTGTAGTTGAGGTCAAGAAAAGTATTAATAAAGCTGTTATCAAATTCGTGACAATGGTTTATGAAACTTATGTTTATTACAGATTTATGATAAGTTATGTTGTCTTGATAATGTCAAGTTGTCATGACAAAGACAGGTTGTGATGACTTTGTTTCTGTCAAGTTGTCATTATGAAGACATCACAAAAAATGTCACCTTTCCATTTGAAAGAGCGAATGTCACTTAATGACAGTTAGCAATACGCATTCATAAAATCATTAATGTGTGTCATGATTATAAAGATTTCACAAAAATCTTATGAACATCCTTTGAAGTACTTTCAAGAACACTTTAGATTAATGTTCATTTTACGATCCTCAACATACTAAATAAGGTAAGGAAGAAGAAGTCATTTACTTTTAAAATGAACAAACTCGGTTTATATGTTGTAAACCATTATTGTGTGACAGATTTAAACCACTGCGGGACATTTAGCAACAACACAGATGGATTCATTCCACAGTAATACCACATTCTTGTGCCTGAGATACGTCTGAGTCAAATGCAACATCCTTTTTAATTATTTCATCAGGAGCGACTGAACACGTTAATCGATTTCAACAACATAATAACACAGATGCTTAATTGCACATAATTGGCAACAGAAGAGAGGAGGAAATTGCAGAATTTTCAGATTCAAATGTAAAAGCTTATTTTCATCTGCTATTTATTCACACCAGTGTTTTCACATGAAGATTTGTGCCTCAGACTGCTTTTGTTCCATCATTTGTTGTTTATTTCAGTTGTTTCTTTGGACAGTTTGAGATTTAGTGGCCACCAAGGGCAAGGAAGACTTGTTTAAGTTGTTTGTGTCATGATATACAACATTTAAGGACAAGTGTATCACAGTTGAGGTTTAATCACTTGCATGTTTGTCCCTCAGGTTTTTTTTAAAAGAATAACCACTATGTGGTTTGGAACTGTATTCTGTATTTAAATACAATTATGTTTTGGTTTTAGAAAACATATGCTGTAGAAAGCATGATAATACAGGGAAAAATGTCAAATCTATTGAGAGTATTTATTCAGAAATAGTTTTATGGAACATTGTAATGTCTGTATCCTGTGGGTGGAGCTGCACTGGAATATGTACGTAATTTAAATTCTAATAAAGATTATAAAATAATGAGGTCATTTGTGTGTGTGTGTGTTTGTGTGTGTGTGTGCACATCTGAACATTGATGTGTGAGTTACATTTAAAGTGTGCAACATAATGGTGAGTAAGAAATGATCAGGAAATTTAGAAATGTGTAGTTCCCAAGACAATATTGTAACTTCTTCTCACGCATTCACACACTTATTCTTAACGCTGCAGGCCTAAATGAGCTCATTTTTATTGAAATAGAAAGCCTGTATCATATTTGCATAAATACCTATCTATCTATTTAATTGTCCTTTTATATACACAAAAATTACTTAAATCTGTCTGTTTATCTGTTAGTTTATTTGTCTCTCTGTCTAACAAACTGTACATCATCACACAAATAATTTTGATTTGTACGCATTATTATATATTATGTATCATGTATGCCATTCTTCCATAAAAGTTAGCAGCATATCTGAATTATTAGGCCCCCTTTGATTTTTTTTCTTTTTTAAATATTTCCCAAATTATGTTTAACAGAGCAAGGAAATTTTCACAGTATGTCTGATAATATTTTTTCCTCTGGAGAAAGTCTCATTTG